ACCTAAAGATATGTAATGAAGGCACCAGGCGTGCCTGCCAGGGGAGAGCATTCCACAAATGGGGAGCCACTGCAGAAAAGGCCCATTCTCATGTTGCCACCCTCTGGACTCCTCACTGAGGACGCACACGAAGAAGGGCCTCAGATGATGATTGCAGGGTCTGGGTTGGTTCATATGTGGAGAGGCAGTCCTTGAGGCATTACGGTCCCAAGTTGTTTAAGGCTTTATAGGTCATATAGACTTTCAATTGGCCCCAGAAACTAACTGGCAGCCAGTGCAGTCAGGCCAGAACTGGCGTTATGTACTCAAACCATCTTGCTTCCAGGCTGCCATCCTCTCCTCTATTTCATCCCACGACCTTGGAATCCAATTGCCCAGCAGCACCTGCACTTCACCCATTTCTCTTGAGGCTGCAGAGTCCCAAATTACCATTTATTGGATTAATATCCCACCTTCTTCCATAGAACAGTCATAGAGCAGATCACAACAAACACAGTACATCAACTCAGCACAATATTACATCTGACTGTGGTTTAACTGAAACATTTCTATGCATCTGGATAATATTAACACTGCCTATGCTATTGTGCTGAACAATAACGAAAATTGGTTTGGGAAGGTTGGGTTGGGTCCCCGCCGCCCCCAATTCAGGGTCCTATCCAGAACTGTTTGTTTTGGAACTGATATTTGTTACACCAAATTCTAGAAGACAGATCGACTTCCCACCCACAGACTGACGAACTTGTCTTCTACGGAGCCTGCTAGACAAATATTAGGTAAGCGCATGAAAATGTGGCTCTCATTATTATTAAGTGCTTTAGCATAGAAATGTATGGTCCAACTATAACAAGCCCGGTTGTAACTGGGGAAAAACAAATGTGGCTACGTAACAGCTGCATGTGCTTCGCATTTTGACACATTGTAGACTAGGAGCCAAGATGACAGGCATGCAGTGAGGCCCTGTATTTCTGCACATAAAACGTTAGGAACATATGAACTGTCCTACTGGCTCAGTGCTGGGATGCAGCTATCATATCCCCTCAAAGGACAACCAAAGCCAGATGTTTCAGAAGGATGCCAAGAACTCACAGTGGGCAGATGTGGGCTAATCCAGATGCATGGTAGCTTCATCCAATAGCTTGATATTGCATCAAGGCAAATAATAATAATAATAATGCTGTTTTTAGATGCATTAAATGCCCAAGCTCTAAACATTATTTTGACTGCCATCTAAATAACACATCACACTTTTTATCTTTCTACAGTATGTATTTCAGTACAGTGGTACCTCGGTTACATATGCTTCAGGTTACAGACTCCGCTAACCCAGAAATTTTACCTCGGGTTAAGAACTTTGCTTCAGGATGAGAACAGAAATCATGCAGTGGCGGCGCAGTGGCAGCAGGAGGCCCCATTAGCTAAAGTGGTGCTTCAGGTTAAGAACAGTTTCAGTTTAAGAACAGACCTCCAGAACGAATTAAGTTCTTAACCCGAGGTACCACTGTATATTGCTCCATGTACAAGTCGTGTGCAACAATCTGTGGAGATGCTTGAGTCTCACTGGAGCTTCAGAACCGCAAGGATAACCTGCACGTGATGGGAGTGGCCTTGAAAAAATTATACAGGCATAGTTCAACATACCCTGATCACTGGAGAACTATAAAAAGTCAGACATTTGTCCATTTCTCTCTCCCCCTCCCTCCTTCATGCAAAATGGGTCATTCAAAGCCTGGCCCAAACAAGGTAGTTAAAAGCATTTCCAAGCAAATATGGGAGAGATGACACGTGGGGCACACATGGTCAATACGCAGTGCCCCAGTTACTACAATAAGCAAGAGGACTCCCTAGCAATTGGATGGGAGCTTTTCTTCGGAGGTGGGGAAGCAGTATATAGAAGTGTGGTATGAGCTTTCAGTGTACGTAGAAATTTACAGCACCCATGGCCCTATGCACAGTCAAAACCTAGGACAGGAAAATTTTACCTAGTGCTAGAGATCAGCACTATAGCCCCGAGGAAACCAAACATGGGATAGGGAGAGAATATTGGGCGGTGGGGGTTCTGCTGCTCCTTCACAGTTGGATCCACAGGAGAGGGTGCTTCCAGGAGGAGCATGTGCAATATGTTTAAGCTCCTTTTACTAACAAGTGAATGTGTTCTAGGTTTTCCAAGTTTGATCTCTAAAACAGAGTCAGATTCAGGCTGCACTAAAGTTCCAACACGCTGTTCACATGAAGCCCGTAATAATGTACATCTGATTCAACTTAGTGATGACCTTAATTAATACCTTCATAATGCTCAAGCTTAGAATGCTGCAGAAGAGTATCTTTGTTGGCAGGTTAGGAGCTTGAGATAGTGCATCATGAGACAATATGCCTCTTGACTTCTCTGGACCAACAAGAACGCCCTAGAATTTGTATCTTATTGTCTTGCAGCACAATTCAATGTCATGTTTTATGTCTATAAAACATCTAAATAGTTGAGGTTCTATTCTCTTAGCTTTCATTTCCTACACAAGCCTCTCTCCTATTGGATGCCATGACAACCAAAAGTTCCATTACATCAACCGGGGTAACTGGATGGCTCTGCTACCCCTGCAGGCCACTGTGACAAGTGGGTCGAAATGCCCGCCTATCTATTCTCTGACAGGCCCCATGACATCAAGTGGCTTAAGAGATCTGGACTGGTTGCTGATTTGTAACTGGCCAAGTTCAAGGTGTTCCTTTAGTATAGGAAGCCCTCAACAGGTTGGGATCAGTTTACTTGCAGTTTACTTACCCCATATATGCTCACTCAACCGCTCCATTTGTGGAAATGGCATTGTTACTGCTGCCACGCTATACTCATTCCACAGTTGTAGGAAATCAATCTGTTAGTGTGGCACAACCTACACCGTGGAACTCCCCTGCCTATTGACATCATTTTTAGGACCTGCTTAAAACATTCGTTTAAGCAAGCTTATCCAGGCCCATAGATGCTGATATGCTTCATTTTATTTATTTATTTGCTGTTAAAAACATTTAAAGATTATTAAAATTAACTGTTTTTACTGATAACCTGAATATTTCCCATAAATTGCTTGGAGGATTTATTGCAATCAAGCGGCATTTAAAATTTGTTAAATAAATAAAAAATGCAGAAGGAGGGGGAACTTCAAAGGAAAGGAATCCAGATTGCGCCCCTGAGTCTTTCTTTTATTCCTTTATAGGCGCAGCTTGGATTCAAGCCATGTCTGCAAAAGACAATCCCTGCCACAGGGATGGGCTCCACCTGGGAGGTCCCGAGTGGAGTCGATCCCAACAGAGCTTGCACCTGGTTCCAAATTTTAAAGGCACTGAATGCAAGCCCCACTTGAAGAAGAACTCTTGGGAGTGCTAGGGGGAAATGATCTTGTGAATCAAACAAGTTCTCCTGGTGGGCCTATCTTGGCCAGCGGTTCCTCATGCCTGACATAAACAAGTGTGTCTCACTTTTCCAGAAAACCAACCGAAATAACACAACTAGTCCTTTCCTACACCTTATCCAATAGCTTACTCATTTCGGCTATATCTAAAACTTCAAATCAGCTATTCTTTAACAGCAACAATTTCCAGACGGTTACTGGAGGCCATTCTTGATCTGAAAAACTGCCAAAGGGAGACTCCATTATAAAACCACTGAATTATGACTTATCAAGGTCAGTTCTAACACCCATGGCCTGACGGTAGCAGGTCTTATTCCACAATGGCAGGATGTCTGTATCACTACTTGAAATGGTCAGTCTAATAATTTTATATCCATTTGCACTGTAGCATAATTGTAACGCTCTGCATTTTTATTTTTATTTTGCATTTCGTTTCCCTCTGATGACTCTGTTTACAACTGACCATTCCCCTTCCATCTTCAAATCATGTGTACATGTACTTGTCAACTAAGGATAACATTTCATGCATCTGGTGAAGTGAACTCAAGTCCTTGAAACCTTATATGCCATTAAAAAAAATGTGTTGGTCTTAAAGGCAGGTGGCTAACCTCTGGCATTCCAGATGCTGTTGAACTACAAATCCCATTATCCCTCTCCAATGGCAATGCTGTTGGGGCTGATGGAAATTAAGAGTCTCAGCAACATCTGGTGGTTTAGCCACCCCTGCTTTAAGATGTCACAGGACTTTATTGTTTCCCCTTAACAGTGGGTACTGGTGCCACTTTCTAATTTTTGCCATAAACACATTTTGCAACAATTTAGACGCCATTTGTCAGCCATCCTAACAAAGGCTCAAAAGAAAACACATCAAATGCAAGTCAAATACTTGTTCTTTGAAGGACACCACCTTCTACCCAAGGATCAACCTGAGATAAATTTGGTGTAATCATTATAACATTTCCAACATTTGAAAGCATTTGGTTTTGTTTTGTTTTTAATGCATTTACCTTCACTGAGGTCACATACCATTGATATATTATTTTCCTCCTCTCTATGAATATTCCCTCAGATCTGAAACTGAAATTGAAGAAATTCCTCCCATCATTTCTCATGCTCTGTTCAGTTTTCCATAATGGTACAAAAGCAAGTCATACAAAAGTAGCACACAAATAGGAAATCAAAATCTAACAACTAAATGATATCAGAATGGCACTTACCCCTGTGATTTCAAGCTGTCTCTTCAAAGAGGGCCCCTGCTTTTGAAATCATCTTTTCCCCTTGTGTTCCACTCTCATATTCAAATGTGTCTGTCTTCACTATCACCTGCACTTCTCCCCCTTTCTTCTTTTTGACCCCAAACTTTAACAACACTATCCCCAAGTTCTACAGAGCCAAACACTACAATCAAAATTAGGCAAGCTAATGTAACTTGGCTTTGTTTTCCAGATTTATGTTTCCTTGGAAAATAAATTGTGTATTTATTTATTGGCAGAAATGCTGTCTTTTCAGAACTGCACGGAAGGGTGTACTTGAGATTCCTAAAAAACATATTCCCACACACAGATTTCATTAATCTATGAAGGAGGACAAAGAAAACAGTGGCTTTTAGTGACACTGTGTCTTTAATAAACAAAAAGAGCCATATGGGGGAAAGTGCATCAACAGCTGTATTTAATTGCAAAAAGTAGAAATTGACCCCACCCACAAACATACAAATCTGACATATTTACATTATTTACAGGCACTTCCCAAGTATTTACAAATGGTTGCAATATATTAATCTATAATTGTTCATAAAATTGCATATTTACATTCTTTTATTAGAAACAGAGTTCCATAATTTGGTGTATACACTTGTCCAAAACTGTATGTGTACATACAGTTACTTTCCCTGTTACCCCTGAGCCATTATAATGTATAACAGTGAGCCATTTTACCCATATTCCCTGAACAGACAAAAAACATTAATAAAAAATAAAGAGTCATTTGTTCAAGTCTCAAATACAAGAGGAAAGCCCAGCATTTCCCACATTCAATGAAAGAGCAAATTACATAGTTTCCTTTTTAAAAGCCATCATTTTCAGGCTTCCTCAAACTATACATTTCCCTACATAAGATAAACAAAGAAAAAGAGCCCAATACTCTGAGATGCTAATGCCTTCCATTCACTGGTTACAAAGCAGCTGAATTTCTTGACACTTGTGATTTGGTCTTTGTAGGCCCAGGGAGCCCAGAGACGCCAGTGTAGCTAATGAATCCTAAGGATGCTCATCATCTGGCAGAACAGTGGTTCAAGGAAGGCCTGATCCTGCAAGCCCAATTCATAACAAGTCTTAATGAAATGGGCTTGCCCCTTCCCTTTCAAATCTGAAACTCTTGAGAAACCTTAAAAAAACACACACACACACACACACACAGACAAAATTTTCTCCCATTCTGCATCAGGAAGGGTTCTGCTCTATCATTGTTGAAAAAGGCTAAGAATGCTCCAAACTCTACTTTGCTTCAGAAAAATTGCACAGGGCTTTTTGAAACGAAGTCTGAAGGTTGTCAAGAGGGGTGGGGGGGAGGAGAATCATGCCAATTTAAACAATAGATGTCCATGGAAATAGGTGTTCCTAGGCAACTGGGAAAGCCTTTATTTGAATGTCTTATGACCAATAAGCTTCTCTCCACCCCATTCACTTCTTCCTGCCATTACTTGGATGAAGATATTGAGGGGATGCTCATCAAATTTGCAGATGACACCACCCTGGGATGGGTAGCCAATGGCGCTGAAGACAGAATTGGGATTCAGGGCCCAAACTGACAAAATGAATTTCAATAGGGACACATGTAAGGTTCTACACTTAGGCAGGACAAGAACCAGCTGCACAAATATGAAATGAGGGACCCTTGGATTGCCAGTAGTACACGTGAAAAGGATCTAGGGATCTTCGTAGACGACAAGCTTAACATGAGTCAACAGTGTGATGCAGCAGCAAAAAAGCTAATGCTATTCTAGGTTGCATCAACAAAAGCAGAGTGTTCCAATCAAGGGAAGTAATAGTCCCGCTCTATTCTGCTTTGGTCAGACTGCCCCTGGAGTACTGTGTCCAGTTCTAAGCACAACATAAGGAGGAGACTGACATTCTGGAATGTGTGCGGGGGGAAGGGGGGACCAAGATGATCAAGGGTCTGGAAACCATGGCTTACACAGAATGGTTGAGAGAGTTGGGCATGTAGAGGATGGGCATGTTGGACATAAGAGGAGAGAGATTCTGACTAAACAGGAGGAGGAACTTTCTGACAGTAAGAGCTGCTTAACAGTGAAGGAGGCTCCCACAAGAGGTGGTGAACATTACTTCCTTGGAGGTTTTTAAGCAGAGGTTGGATAATACATCTGCCATGTATTATCTAGTTGAGACGGCTGCATTGCAGAGGGTTGGACTAGATGGCCCTTGGGGTCCCTTCCGGCTCTACAATTCTATGATTCTATGTCACGTCACTTCAGTTCACCAAGGCGATCTGATTTGCTCATAAGGAAAAATCTTTATTACTAAGAAACTGGCAAATGATCTTCATATCTTGGCTTGTCAACGTTAACAACTAAACCTGCCAACCCATGGCGCCATGACGAGCCCCTCCTTAGGATTTTAGTCACAGGATTTAGGAATGTGCTGTAATTTCAGACAGTCATTGATCTCTGTAAATATTGCAGCACAGCAGATGAGACGCTTTGCTTCTTCAGAAGATGAAAAGAGCAAAGCAGGCCAAGGTACACTGCTAAGATCACAGAAGGAACCAAAAACATTTTCTTCAGGAAAGAATTAATAGCATGCAACAGAAGCAATATATAGGATTCAAGGGGTGTGAAAAATAGTGAGAGCCAATATTTGCATTTATTCCTTGCTGAGCTTCTCTTTCAAAAAAGTGTGTCACCAGAACATTTCATCACAAATAGCAACGGCGTTTGGAATTTGTCCAACTTCCAAGGGTTCTCAGCACATGCTTCCTGCAGACTTTTGGAAACTATTCCACTCTGATTGTGCATCACAAACACCAATGACTTTGAGTGTTTTGCTTTGATGAGACTGACTTGTCTCCAGAATAGGTTTCTTACGCTTAATATTTGCATCATTAGATACTTAGTCACAGGCGCTAAGTTTTAGTTCGCAATGAATCTGATCTAGGCAAAGATTCTTTTCCATGTTCTCCAACCATAAATGCAAAAAGGTGCCAACGAAACTTCTTTGGCCATTGCCGAAAAGGATGGTAACAGGTGCTTAAAAACGCTTCAGAATGGTAGCTTGCACTCCAAAAACCAGACAAAAGAAACTCTGATCTAATTGAATGCTCTTAATCAGTTGAAAATCAGATAACTTGGAGCTCTGATTCTTGTTGGGCAATTACTTGTTTTAATTCCTTGCAGCTTGTGAAAGAGAAGGAGAAAATGTACTGGAAGTTTGAAAACAAATGATGTAAACTCCAGAGGGAATGAGGCTTGGACATGTGCATAGCACCTCCTAGACAAAGATCTGGAAACCTATGCAAAGACCAAGAGCACGTGGAAAGCCAGTCCGTATGCAGGACAAATTCATTATCTTCGGCCAATTTCCCGACTGGCATTTGAGGTTGGGAAAGAGAAAGCATTTTTATGGGAACACTTGTGCAGCGCATGTATAAACTGGCCTTTAAAACTATTCCTCTCTAGAGAACCCGAGTTGACTGAAAGACTGATTCTTCCCCACCCCCTGCCAACTATTAAGCAGTTAGCATCACTAACACAATTCCCTAAAATACAGGCATTTCACTATCAAAGCTTTGTTCATGTAAGTGTTGATCAACCTCTGTATCTTCCATCATGTAAAATTCTACTTTGGATTTGTTGCTATTTGCATTACTTGCAAGGGGGGGGAAAGGATGCCGACACACCACAGTTCAGGGCAAACTGTACTCTGTGTAAATCTACAATAACCCTTGGTTAAAAGCTGGTACATAAGAATTACGATACCTGCTAGCTTCAGTGTGTAAATCCCAGCAGCAGAGGTGCCAGGAGAGTAAAACGATGATGTCATGAAACTTCTATTAACTTATGTGGAATGTAGTCCTTTTCAACTTATATGAACATGTTGTTCTGTAATTGCTCAACTAAATCCCTCTGCTTTTTCTTTAGAATTAAACAAAGTACGGTTTTCCTACTGAACTTGCTATTATTACAAACCTGCTTAAAATGATACTGGGGCTCTAATGCAGAGTTGTTGTTTTTCTTTATGGACTTCAAGTAGGTTAATAAAAAGTGTGAGAATTTCCTCTACGCAGAAAAGGGAGGTGGGAGGAAGGTTCATCATCTGGTTAAGGGAAACGCTAAAGAATGAGGCAGATTAAATGCCAACCCTCCAAAAACCCAAGTCTCTATAGTGCTGCCTCTTATTTATATACTGATCTTTTAAACACACATACAGCTAAGTTCACTGCCATATGCATCTCCCACTTAAGACTGCAAATCAGTTTATGCATGTTTCCAAAATAGAATATATACAGAAAAAAGGTGGCGAAGATGCAATCTGCACATTTGCAGAAAATCAAGTAGAATTGGACCCAGTTAGGGGCCCTTCATTGCTATTATCATAAAATTAATATATCCCACCTTATCTTCTAGCAAAGATAGAGAGATTGCTTGAAGTTCTTCCTTAAAATTGACCTATATTTACAAATGAACTTTTTTTTTTTTTACTTTTCACGTGGAAAGTTGCATTGTTAACTTGGTTGAAACAAAATAATCCCCAATAGCACATAAAACATGCTAAATTGTATGCCCCAGCCCTCATTACTGGGATCCGACTTCAACCTCACACATCTGCAAATTGTCTTAACGCAGCAGGAACCTAACAGATTCACTCCTGGGAAGCACTACTACAAATGTAGACAGCACATGCTTGAAACTGATCCTCTCTAAAGGCACAGATGAGCCCATGAGCAGCAAGAAGAAATGCACAAAGCTTGGAAAGAGCTCAAGAATAATCAACATGTATTCAAAAACATGGATTAAGACATGAGAAAACACTAACAAAACATAGGGGGAAAGAAGAGGGCAAGATTATTCATGGCACAAGCCTTAAGAATCTGTTTGTTCCAATCCTGCCCGCAAAAGCGTCCACCCATCAGCATCTTTGAAACAAGAGCTGGACAGTGTTCAAGCAAAATATGCACAAAAAGTTTTAATTTCCTAGGCAGTGATTAAATGAGACCAAAGTAGTCCAACCTAGACAGCTCAAAAAGACCTAGTTTTCAGAAGAGTAGTGCTTGGCATGTTCTGAAATGTTAAAAAGAAGAAGAAGAAACCCTCTAGCAAATTTGGCTGCTTGATGCAACTATTAGTCATTTTGAAAAAAATCTTGGATCTGGCATTAAACTGACCCAGGCCAAGAAAGCAGCAAGAATGCGTATCTCAACACTAGGGAAGAGGTGGAAAAAGAAACTTGTAGAGTGCATTGCACACTTGCACAGTGTGTCAAAAGAGCAATTCCACCCTCAGCCCACACCAGAACACATCTGCTTTCAAGGAGAAATCTACACACAAGGAAAGGGGGGACACCTCCAACTCCTACCAAGATGTTTGAAGGAAAGGCCAAAGTTATCTTGAAGGTCAAGAGAAGATGCCCTTCTAAAGTGTATTCCTTCCTTCACTGCAGGTGCACACAACGGGGTAAAGATACATCCTTGGAAATGGTGGCTAACCATCCTTAAATCTTTTGTGTTCCATTTCTTTCGCCTTGGATCCCGAGTGCTCTTACTCAGCAAAAGGCACCTCTCGACAGTTTTTAACTGGCAGATCCATCACAAACAACAGTAGGTTCTGGTCCCCTGGAGTTAAAGCCTGTTGTCCAATAATCCACATTTGCAAAGCCTTTAGGGAGAAAAATGAGAAAACATTGGAAAAGTGATCTGCATTACTATTCTTTGTAAAGACAATGCTATTGACAGTCTTGTCTATGAACTGAGCTTACCTTTCAAAACGTACTTATACTGTTAGGATTGTATCCAATGCTGCTCACAGAAAAGGATGTCCCTTCCTCTCCACTTCTTACGTACCTCCAAAATCTGCTCCTGAGGGTTCCCCAATCTTCAGAGGAACCTTTAGAGTGTTCCTCTGAAGCAGATTTGGAGGATGCGGAAGGGACGGCAGGGAAGAAGAGTGGGAAGTTCCATGGCACAAATGCAATGGCAGTGTTGAGTGCAACCCTTAGACTTGAAGGCTTCACTCCATCCCATAGAAATTAAATTAGAAACAGAATTTCCCTTAAAAAAAAATAATCCTCTCTGACTGTTCCTTAGGCCTAACAGCGAAGAAAGGAATTCTATATATTTCTCATGCCCCGCAATATTGATAAAAGAGCATCTTAAAGATTAAAAACATTTACTACATCAAGTCATACAGGTCAGTTCTTCTCTTTTTTCAGAACCCTAAAGTTTTACAGAGACTTCCACGGTACCGTAAAAAACTAATGAATGTATTGTAGTACATGCTTTCATAGCCAGAAATCACTTCACTAGATGCACCTAGTGAAGATGGATCCTGTCCTATGAATTTCCATGACACAATATAGATTATATCCAAAGTAGCGCTAAGTAATTTGTTCTGTTAGCATAAGGATTTACACCTGTGCAACAGAATTTCCCCCTTTCCTCCCCTAGTGCTCCCTAAGTCTGTTTCCCCAACCCTCTGCAGCACATTTGGAGAGGATTCTGTGCATGTGCAAAGACAGGGGAATGTTCTGTTGTGCTAAAGGGATGAGTGCAAGGGATTCCACTCCACATTTCTAAATCTTTAAGGTGCCACGAAACTCCTTCATTTTTACTACAGTAAATCACCATAATTATTATGCTAGCACGCCTCTTTACACCTGAGCCCTTCTCTGTTCCTTTCCCACTTCTACACTCTCTTCTTTGAAATGTAGCAAATGTTAAGTCTAGTGTTCTATATCAAGATGGGTTTGCTTAGTGGCGTAGCGACGTTACGCAATATATCATGCCCTTTACCCTAAACAGTTATTTGGCTTTTAACTGCTACAAAGCACTGATCTCAAGCTTCCCACAATGGCCAGGCATCCTTCCAGGTTGGGAAAAGCCAATTCAGAATACCACATTGTGTATTCAGAGTTCATATTTTTCCCCCAATAGACAGGGTGTGGAATACATTTTCTCCCCTGCTGCATCATAAAGATTAGAACATTTAGCAGGGCATAATCATGAGCCACAAGCCACTGCTTGCCTTTTTCCAGAGTATAAGGTACAATGGGATGCAATGAACAGCTCCCAGAATGCAACATTTGCTGCAGTGTCACATCATCTGTATTTGTATTTACCAATATCCCCGGCTTCCAGCTCCACTATCACTGTTTTGCAATGTTCTCTGCACAACGGAGAAGGGATAACATTCAAGGTAAGCTGACCACTTCCAACCACAAAGGTGCTCTGCAGTCTGTATGTCTGAAAAATATGAAGATGAAGAAGCTTCAAATTATCCCATGCCATTTCAGAGCTTTATTGGAAAGCAAGAGAATGAAAGAACATTTCCCTGCCGAATTAACCCAGGTGACACAAAGATGCAGAAGAGCTGACTACCACAGAGCTGTTTCCCATAACTACCATCTGAAGCACTTTGCCTTTTAGAATGGACTAGGTGCTCAATGCTACTGCCGCAACCTACATGTGCACTTATACTCTTGGGGAGAAATGTGGACAAGTAGTGATCACCACCACCATTTATCTGAGACTGCTAAGCATAAGGCACATTGGGACAACTGCAGAAAATTGTGCATGCATTCCCACCAAAGAAAGGGGACCCTGCCATTGTCTGGGGAAACATTTTCTGCTGATGTTTAGGTGTCTTTTTTTCTTTCATTTTTGGGTTCTTGGTATGCATTTTATTGTGATGTAAACTGCTTTGAACTTTCGGAGAAGCAGCACAAAAAATATTTCAAGAAGCATTAAAATGCTCACCTTATCCTGAAGTCTTGAGTTGTGGATGAGAAAACAGCTTTTCAGAGAAATAGTCTTTGGAAGCAGCAGTGAAGAGAAGATGGGGAAAATCTCCTGCAGAATCCGAGTTTTATTCAGAGGATTTTGCCTATGGGGCATTTTAGAGAACCAGACTGTGCTTAGCATCTTACATTGCTGCCAAGTTCCTTCAAAAGATATCCACCTCTGTCATCCTGAATCACTATTATTGCCTCCATTTTGCAAAAGTGACCAAAAAGCGGGGAAAAGCATAAGAATGTGATTTTCCCAGAGCTTGAACTAGAGACAGGGACTCCTTGGGATGAGTTCAGATCACCTATCACCTCCCAAGAAAACAATATGCTCAGGGAACAAAGAGGCTGATGCAACAACGATATATATATATATTTAAATGTCAAGTTCATTTAATAAAATGCTGATGAAGGGAAATAAAGGAAGGCGTCACCTAGTCAAACATTAACTAAAACCACATGGGAAAGAGTTTGGGAATCCTAGCCTATTCACCATTCCAAGAAAAGGGAGGGCAGGGACGCATTTTAGAAATCCCAGTGTGGGGATCCGTCATGATTCACAGCTTGATATTCTGCACCCAAACTGTCTAGCACAAGTTCATAAAGTAAGAACAGCACTGAATGATAGACAACACCGTGTCCCACAATTATGAAGTGCCCAAATATGACTCAAAGCCTAAAATCTTTAGGGCCTGTATCTATGCACACATTCGCTTCGGTTTAAGATTGTAGCCTTAAGTTGTTGCTGCATGCTAGTTTCTTTGGCAACCTCTGAGCAGCAGCCTCTGAAGTGAGCAGCTTAAATAAAGTGACTTAGGTGATGTTGTTGCCTTTGAGAATTTATCTCCAAGCAACTGAAGAGCCCTTTATTCTCTCTCACACACATACTCAACACTGGAGCAATTCAGTACAGTGGTACCTCGGGTTAAGAACTTAATTTGTTCTGGAGGTCCGTTCTTAACCTGAAACTGTTCTTAACCTGAAGCACCACTTTAGCTAATGGGGCCTCTCTGTTCTCATGCTGAAGCAAAGTTCTTAACCCGAGGTACTATTTCTGGGTTAGTGGAGTCTGTAACCTGAATGTATGGGGCTGTTAGACAACATTTTAAACAAGAATTGGCAAAACCAGCACCCAGCATTTTTTGGAATAAAATACTCTAAATTGCAGGGGTAGGGAGAGATTTCTGCAGAAATTCTGGGGGTTGAACAAATTCCAGCCAAATATGGGCTTCTCTGAATCCATTAGTTACTCAGTGCTGTAGTTGGCCTTTTTAAAGGCCTGTAAGTAGTGGCATGTATTGGTGGCACCACTTGCATGCACTGTAGAGGCTTCTGCAAAGTCTGTAACCTGCACAATGTGAACTGGACCTCTGCTGCCCCTGCATTTGGGGGAAGATACAGGCATCTAAGAGGCAGAATTTGACTGGGGAAACCAAAATGGTTTTGTTGAGTTTCACATCCCAACTCCATTGTATTTTTCTGTGTATTTCACCTCCACAACACACCCACCAAACTTTCCGTCAAACCATGTTTGGAAAGAAATCTGCTGGTATTTTTAAATGCTTAAGGAATCCTACCACAAAAGGCCCTCTCAGAATCCCAAGGCACATGTGCCAAAATGCCACATTATAAATTTGATTGCTGGTCTGGTGTAGTGGTTAGAGTGTTGGACAAGGACCTGGGAGACCAGGGTTCAAATCCCCACTCAGCCATGAAGCTCACTGGGTGACCTTGGCCAGTCACTCATTTTCAGCCTAACCTACCTCACAGGGTTGTTGTGATAAAATGGCAAGGAGAACTTACGTACACTACCTTAAGCTCCTTGAAGGAAAGGTGGGGTTATAAGTGTAATAAATATATAAAGGAAATAAAATTGAGCAGACCAATTTTCCATTTGGGTCAAGATGATACATTACATATTAGAATAAGACAGCTACAAAAACAGCAAACCCACATCATCCTTTCTAGTGTTCTTCACCCGCCACCCACCCACCCAGCCTTTTGGAAGACGCATCCCAGAAAGTTCACTTGGGTCAAGTTCAAGAAAGTGTGTGTGTCTAGAACTTCAGTGACTAGCTCAAACTCACCAGAAAATGTGAACTCCTTGCCCTGGATGACTGCTCCATCTCTCAGCTGATTCCTCCAGTATGATGAAATCTGTCAATCCGGGGTACAGAGACTGAAAATGCTTCATTTCAGCATAAGACCGATACTGTCCTGTCTTGTGAAAAAGAGAGCAGATGGAGTGGTATTTTTATGAGTTGTGTTTTCTCATACAACCAAGGAGTAGGGCACATTCTGACAGGCATCCCACACTGTGCAGTTACCTTGATGAAGAGAGGCTGAGTTTGCGGTAGTTTTTCGGATAGCTGCCCTAGGTCAGCAGCAGCCACAAGGTTCTTCACAGAGCAGGAGCAGTTGGCAGTCTGAGACACATTCTGTCTACAATCCAAGCCCCACCAGTCTTGACACCCTTTGAAGCAAAAGGATATAAGTGGTTTGTGAGCTCCAAGATTTCACTTAAGCAAACAGAAACAGATTCCAAACATTACACTTGTCATTGCCGTGGACTATCATGAGATAATTCATTGAAAAGGAATCTTTAAACTTGATATGGCCAATACCTGTCACCCCATTCGAGAGCAAACAAGTGGTACATTTCACAGTTCTGTCTCAGAATGAGCCCCCCCCCCCGAACACCCCCAGATAGCAATGCATAACATTAGGTACATCATTAAGAGGGATACATACTTGCTACTCAAATGAAGTAAGTGGTTCTTCCTAATAAAGGACTAGCATGGCTTCCACAAAGGTAAATTCCATGTAACTAACCTTGGAGTGTTATCCAACAGCGTCAGCAAGAATATGGATAGGAGAGATTCAGTAGATATTGTGTACTTGGACTGCCAAAAAGCTTTTGATAAAGCTGTTGATAAAGCTCAACAACTTCGGGTGGGTATTTCCCCTTAAAACAGGTCAACAAGTTCTACCACCTCTTTTTCTAGAAAAAAAACCCTGCTTAACCCTGTGCTTTTTAACTTCTTCATAAACAACCTAAAGTTAGGGGTGAGCAGTGAGGTGGCCAAGTTTGCTGGTGACACCAAATTGTTCAGGGTAGCACAAACAAAAAGGAATTGTGAGCAAATCCAAAATGCTATTTTCCAACTGGGTGAACGGGCATTAAAATGGCAAATGTAAGCAAGTGTAATTGATGCACACTAGTGCAAAAAATCCCTGTCTTCACATATATGCCAATAGGGTCTGATCTGGTGGTGAATGACCAGAAATGAGACCTCAGTGAAAATGGCAGCTGTGAAAAAAGCAAACTCCATGTTAAAAGGACTGAAAATAAAAATATTTAAGAGCATTGCAATATTGACAAACCTACGGTGCAGAGGCATCTAAAATACTGTTATCACAGGGCTGGAAAAGATTCAGAAAAGGACAATCAGAATTATCATCCAAAGTCCAACATTTGGACTTTTTTAGAAAAATGCAAGTAAGGGGGTGATATCATACAACATAAAAATATGCATGGTGTGAAGGAAGTAGATAGAGAAAAGCCTTTCTCCCTCTCTCATCACACTAGAAGCTAGAGTAATCCAGTGAAGCTGAAGGATGGAAGATTCAGGATAGACAGGAGGAAGAACTTATTCACAAAGCACATAGCTCAGACTCTGGAATTCACTACCAGAAGATACAGTAAAGGCTACCAAACTGATAGCTTAAAAGGTGATTAGACAAATTCACAGCAAATAAGGCTATCATTGACCACTAGCTATGATGGCCGTGTACTACCTTCAGTATCCAAGGCTATATGCCTCTGAATACCACCAGTTGCTGGGAATCACAAGCAGAGAAAGCACTGTCATGATATGGTCCTTCTAGCAGGCTTCCCATAGGCATCTGGCTGGCCACTGTGGGGAAAAAGGACACTTGGCAAGACGGGCCTTTGGTCTGATCCAACAGGGCTCTTCTAGCGTTCTTATGTAACAGGAGCGTGTGATTTAAATTACGGGTAAATTATATTTGAGGATCTGGCATTCTGATTCTAATTTTAATAGGAAAAACAGAGCATAAGCAATTTGCCTGGCCTCAATGGAAATCAAATTTCAGCACTCCCTTTGGGGAATCAATCTCCTTTGATTAGAGAGACTTAGCTTAAATGGTCATTTTACAATACCGTATAATACAACAAGATAAGTAAGGCTTTGTCTTTTATGGGTTAGACTTTTTGTTGTTGTAGCTTGGAAGTGATGGTTAACATATGACCCCTTATTGGGGGGAAAATGAAGAGATGGTGGCTTATTTCCCACCAGGGTCTCTCCCCTCCTTTTTCAAATAGGTAACTGTAATCATGTTATACAGAACGACATCTCAGGAGAAGAAAAGAGAGCAGTTTTTTCATCATTACACTGTCTCTCAAGAGACAGAAGAAACCACAGTGGTTAATTCTTTATGGCTTGTTCATTGTCATCATTATTTATCAAATTTCTGTACCACCCTTCATCCGAGGATCACAGGAAAGCTTGCAATATCTGACTGAATGCTGTGTTTCATGTGTTACCTCTGGGATGTGTTCTAGAAAGATCACAATATGACTTGTTTGTTACTGGAAAACTTGCATCAGAGCCTTCTTAAAAAGATACTTGATAACGACATTGTATTCTTCTTAAGCACGCATACAAATTCTTGATGTTTTAGTAAGCAAGAACAACTGCTTCAGTGTGCACCTCCCAACTGCACAGAGGCTAAATCACAGAAAATCTGCTATACACAGAGAGAGAGAGATCCAATGGGGTAGAAAGAATCAAGAAAAAGAGGTTGCAAATGATAGCCCTTCAGGGGGCCACATGGTATTGGTGGGTGCGGCCAGAGGTAAAAAGGGACAGAGCAATTAATTTGAATTTTACTTTCGTACAATAGGCTAGGTTCTACACACACTTGCACACTCCTCTCTATCCTAAAAGCATTATCAGAGTTCAAGGGCACATTCTAGCCAGGCAAATGAACTCAGGAAGGGCACAAATCAGGGTCGGTAATATTATTAGCCAGAGGGATGGCTTCCCAATAGACAGAGAGGCTGGGGAGCTGCTGCACTGGCCCTAGGCCTGGAGATCCCCACTCCTGATCTTAAGGATCACCTTCTGTAACAAGCGATCAACAACGCTTCCTTTGATTTCCTTCAGTACATCCTAACAGAAGACAATACAAAATTCATGGAAAAGGAGGACCGTTAAAATGCTTCTGATGCCTTTAAAGTCTTTGAAGCCATTTCAGGAGGTTTACCCAGTTTGAAAGACTGAGATGTTTAGCATCGCAAGATATAGAAGCACAGAGCAATCTGTACGGCTGTGCATTAATCACATCCACCAAACAGAGCCCAATTTATCTTTGCAGCCAATTCTGGGTATTTGCATTCTCAATTGCATGATTCAGGAGGTTTTTGTTTGCCATGAATAACCCACTCAAGTATTCCAAGTGGGCTTAAAAAAATTTGTTTAATCAATCTGAGATTTATTGTTGAGGGTGTTCCTTTGTACACCAGAAAGTGTGTGACTTGCATAAAAAGTGCAGTGGGAAAAGGGAGGGAGGGCAGCAGGCTAGCCTGGATTTGGAGAGAGACTGAAGGGTGACATGGAAGAATAACAGACTGAGCAAAGAGCAGAGGCAATGCAAACAGAGGAGTGTAGAAGAGGACTGAACTGCAGCTTGACGCAGTAGTCTTCTCTCCTATACTACCCTCAATTATACTCCTCTGCATTCCTTTCAGATTATCAGTCTGTCTGTGGGCACACTCAAGGTGTATTTGGCCTTTAAGTGTAGCAGGCCTTGATCCGTTTGTAGCATAGCCAGTTTGTAAATTCTCAAAAAAGAATATTCAAGCTGGAATGCTGTAGCTAAAGCATGTATGTTAAGGTTTCAAGAGCAATTGTGCTTGATTCCAGGGCCAGCACCCAGTTCTAGATGTGTCCCCACCACCAGTCCCTACTTTCACAAGTCTGCTTGCAGAGAGCAATCCTTTTGCAACTACAAGCAGTGGGCCAACAAATATGCATACAGGCTCTCATCAGTAGGATTGCCTCCCCACCAAGACTGCAACATAGATCCTTGAAACAAGCAGCTTAAGATACCACATATCTGGGAAGGCTCTCCTTCTCAACTCTTAAAAATAGGCATGCTATTTCCAACACTTAATTCATGTAACTTGCAGTGATGTGTATATCTTTGCCTGCCAGTCTAAAAAGACCAGGCACACACAAGAGATTTGCAAAGCTGAGACTAACATAGAAGCGTGCATGCACACGAAAGCTCATACCAATAACAAACTTAGTTGGTCTCTAAGGTGCTACTGGAAGGAATTTTTTTATTTTGTTTCGACTAGCATAGAAGTTATTATAAATGAGCTGCTGTTGCCATGACAAAGAGATAGCGAAGCTGAAATAACGCAATTCTGCATTTATCTGGCAGGGAATACAGAGACCCACATCATTTAAAATCCACTAAAGGAGGAAGATTCCGTTGTGCTGTTACTAAGCAGTATATTTCTGTGCCAAAACACCAAGGAGGATATTTTGATCCTCATTAGACAGCAGAGTCCCACTTTGGCCAGGTTCACACATCACATTAAGCCAAACCCTAGCTCAGCATAAATGTACATGCTCTTGGAGAGGAGCTCACAGACACTTTGCTCCTCCCTGGTTCTTCTCACTACTGCACTGAGCATCACAATTGTGTTGCTGTTTTCCCCCTACTGACCAGAAGTGTAGACAGGAGCAGTTTCTGCATCTCTCCTTAGAGGCTCAGCAACTTCATATGGGAGTCAGCCTGACACTCAGTCCTGAGGTCAGAGTACTGTATCATTACCAACTGTTTCTCTTGGCTACCCATACAAACCACCAGGCACTTTTAATTTTTTTTTAACCCATATAATCACCATTTTAATCTTTCAGTCACTTCAAATCACTTCACATGCAGTAACAACTTTTGGCATGCTAAGAAGCTAATTTGATAGGAAAGATGGACCCCCAAGAGCTAAGGGAGTCGGGAAGTTAAGACACAACAGTCTAGATCCAGAGAACTCACAACTGGCCACTGGCTGGGCCCTTTCCTGGAGAAGATGGACCTATCACACCTCCTAGGTTGGCTGGTTAACTGCAAAACACTCAAAAGTAAGGACTAACCAACTAGCCCAAACATGTTCTGACTGGGAACAGACTGCTTTTAATTAAAGGGCTGGCATTGTGCTGTTTTGTAATTATTGGTATGCTTTTAATAGATTTTATATATGTAGCTAGTTTAAATTTATCAAATCTTAAGCACCGTCTGGGGAAAAGGAGGGATATAAATAAATTTGTTGGTGGTGGCTTTTTGGAGCAACCAGTCAGTTTCCAAGCCCCAAAATGTTTGTCATTGTCTTTATTTATTTAAAGGATCATCAGCTCCTACGTACTTAGGTACAATGGAGATACTGCTCCACCACCACTGACAGACGTGCAGCTGCTGGGTATGCAAGTCAGAGACTTTATAGTTATTGTCCCCAGGCAGGGGAACTTTCTGTCCTGGGAGGCTTCTTTGGTTGACATTTCAAGGCCTAGTTGACTGTTTCATTTCAATGTGCCTTTGGCACACAGAGCTGGAATTGTTGTCACCTCCACCCCTTCCTATTTCCAAGTTGGCTCTTGACACTGGTTTTGTTTTTGGCTGTGGATGTGGTTTTAAGCTGTGCTCATCTTAAGTTTCTGCTCCCTTATTGTTGTGTTTTAAATATTGTTTTCTACCCACCACAGGGGTCCGCCTATGTGTGGGATGTAAATATCTGAAAACCAACCAACTAGCCCAGACAAGCTAGTCCCTAAAGGGGATTTTAGACCAACAATACGCAAATAACAGCGCCCCGTGGTACATGCCAAACTGCTTTCGAAATTTAAAGAGAGTTTCAAAAGCAGTTTGAGATACAGTAAAAGTGGCTATGTTTCAAAATGTTCAAAAAATCCTCTGGCATGTACCTAAAGTTGGCCTTTTGATCCTCAAGCGTGTGAAGAACTTTCCCCAGAATGATACAGAAACCGGACAGACAAACTAGAACTGGACATTTGGTCCATAAATCTTAGGTGAATAGCGTGTGTGGTTACACTGATATCATACATTCATTTTTTTAAAAAAAATATTTATCTTTCATGCCATATAGGCTAAATCATACTACAAATAAACTCAAGTAACATCACGTTTAGAACGTTTTTGCACATCAGGAGCTGAGTAAGCTCAGCAACGCCACATGGTCTCCAAGGGTTGGCTCACACTTTGATTATCCAACCCGCAAAATCTGTAACATGCATCCGCCCTGCATAGCTTTGGTAACAGGCTGCACCATTTCTTGGCATGACTAGGTAGAAGTGTCATGCCTGTACTGGGCTATCCTGTGCCAAATTATTTATTTGATTCAGGACGAGTAAAGTTCTCCATTAACAGATGAGATCACTACAGGCAATGTGGCTGCCTCCTTTGGATTTATGCAGGTGCACATGTTCAAAATGATGCTGAGATCCTTTAAAGCATAAACCATGGATAACCTGCGCTAGCCAAAAAAAACCCCATCAGTTGTACTATGCTCTGCAGCAGCCAACATTACTCCAAGCAGAAATTATTTTTCCCTGCTTAGCAGACATCCTCAATCTCAAAACATGGCCATACAATACTCACAATTGCTAACCTCATTGCTATTGCTGCTCTGTCTTACAACTTAGCACTCTACAAGGAAAGAGAGAAACAGTGGCGGTAAAATATAAAGCTACTCATTGCAACAGACTTGTTTTTTTCTGGAAGAAGAAATATGTATATTGGAATAAAACTAAAAATAGGTTTAGTCAAGGAAAGCAAACCATTATTTTGATTCATTTAAAAGTAGCAGCACAAGCTCTGACTTCATTTAGACATTAAAAAAAAAAACCATAGCGAGACTCAATTTTGCATCTGAAAGTCACCAAAACTAGCTTGCAGAGACCTGGATAGTACGAGTCCTTCACATTTGAGAGTAAAAGACTGGGGAGATTAAGAAAACAATCCTATGCACACTTCTCTTGGAGTAAGCTTAATTGTACTTAACCTCCAATTAATAGCGGATTGCACTTTGAAGCACTGAACTGATACAGGTCTGTCCCCCACCTCCCAGTTTCTAGCTTAGCCACAGTCACAGTATAACTGAAAGGGGGAGACCTCATCTGTCATCCTCCTCTCTTATTTCTATCTGTCACCAGAGGTTCTAAGAATATCATGGCATATCATGACTCAGCAGAAAAAGCTGAAAGGTGCTCCTGTTATGAGCACCTTACAGGGATATTAAGTGTTATAGCCATTAATTATCAAAGTCAATTTTATGGCAAGGATTCAAAGCGTCTTGTGCTATGTGTATTCAACAGTGACTTCAAAATCATAACTTTCATTTTTTGTGGGGGAAGTTTTAGCATTTAAGATTGGAGATAAAAACTTGGAAACTGGGCTTCAGCATGAACAAAAAAACTCAAACATTAGAATTTAATTAAAAAGAAATGCACAATTAAAAAAAACCTCAAATTTCAAGCCACAAGAGTTCTAGTGTTGTCATCCTCAGATTACCCCAGCTGGAACAACAGACATGGTTCAGTGGAAACCAGATGTCAAAACTGAATTTTTATGAAATGCACATGCTCGGTGAATGCATGGAGAGAGGGAGAAAGAAGGGGACACATCACTCTACCATGTTTTACATAATAAGCATACCAATCCTGAAGCAAGGAAGAAACTGCTTCTTCACAACTTTGCAAAGCTGAACACCACTGTGATGGGATGATGAGCTGCTTGTGCGTAAAATCGTATCCCCTCAGAGTTTGTTCAAGTCCACAAACCTCTGTCTGTGACGGAGCCCCTCAGACATGGCTCCTCTAGTCACTAGCAGATTCCGACAGTGGTTGCTTTGTAATCGCTTCCAACATAAAAGCTCCTTAACGGAAACACGTCTTCTGGACCCTCTGCGTGTCAGTTTCCGGCGAGGAGTGGGTGTCCCTACAGGAGGTCCTGAAACCTCCCCACTGTTTTCGCTGGAAGTGTCTCTGAGCCATCCCTCCAGCTCACTTTCCCTCCGCTCAGCTCCTCTCCCCCTACTGGTTCCCTCTTCAGCTGCTGAGTCTCTCCCAACCTGTGTGAGCCCTTTCACCTCCCTTCCGTCCGATGTCAGTTCCCTGACAACCACCAAGGTGGAATTACCACCAGGACTATGTGCACTCACATTCAAATATCCACATTTTGTCCAAAATAAATGAATTACTACTTATTTCATTTACTCCATCTCCTAAATCTGCACTTTCTTTGGCCTCCCCTCAATCCCAATGTTTTCAAAGAAAAGAATGCAAAGAGGATAAGACAAGAGTATCCTGCACAGTTCTTTGCTGTGGGAGAGACAGTAGTAGGAATGGTGATGGAATAGAAGCCCCATTCCTTGATCCCCTGGGAAATCACGTTAGTACCTCTTTCAATTGCTTTGGGTTACCAAGAAATATAAGCAAACGTTTTCATAGCTAGTTTCTACATCTAAGAGTTGGAAACCGGTTTTCAAATAGCAGTACGTTAAAATACCCAATTCTGCACATCTAGTGAATTTGAAAGAATAATTTAACAACTTACACAATGCAGTGCTCAAGAATTTTTTTAAAAAATAGCTAACTCTCTTAGAATGGCTCAACACTAAGCTTTGAATGGCAAACCTTATTTGCCACTGCGTGAACCCCAACATTCACCCCCACAACAAACCCATCTTTTGTGGCCAGATATATACATATACATATACATATACATATACATATACATATACATATACATATATATATATATATATATATATAACATGCTACCCTAAATGCAAAAAAATGCAAAAGAGTTTTCTACTTTCCAGATTCCCAAAATAACATGGAGCTGGTTTGCTATAAGAAATGTCAAACAAACAGTTCAACTACTGAATAGCCAAGATAAAGTCATTGTTTAAAAAGAACTTGCACCACCCATCTGTACAAAGCCAGCCTGGACCTTTAAAAATGTGTACCAACACATGTGCCTGTTATTAGGCCTCAGATTATAATAAAATGAGATGTTTACAATGAGATTCAGAGCCCTGGGGCATCAGTTACAGTTCAGTTCATAATGGTGTAAGGATGCTGCAGCTGGGCTGACGTTAATGGACAACATTCTAGAGGCATCAGTATTTTCTGGTGGGAAAGAACACTAATCTGCAAAGGAAATCTTTGTGCATGCTCTATAGCAGACTCAACTGAAATTATCCAAGACATGATTTAGCCTGAGAGGGCCCTGAATGTTGGATGGAAGTCAAGCATGTCTCACGCTAAGCTAGAGAGCCAAAAAGATAGATATTGTTGCTGCAAATCTTCCCAAATGAACCATTTTTGCTAACCGCACCCTTGTTCATAATTTACGGCTCGGGGGTAGTGCTCAAGGGTTCGGAAATGTAGAAATGCTTCTTCCAATCATATCATTTCAGACCTCAGTTGCAGTTCATTGCTAACAAGGCAGTTGTGGCTCATATGCCAGCTTAAAAGTGACCTGCTGGAATTTCGCCCACCACTTTACATCATGCACCTCTGCAAACAGCCAAAACTGAGCCCAAGAGTCTGACCTGTTTTTACAAACAATTTCAGAGAAGCAGAAATGCCTGGCAAAGAACATAATCATTTCTAGTCTTGGATTTGGTATGTCAAAGGAATTTAGAAATGTGGGACAAATGAATGTTGGCCTAGCTCCATACTACCATCATTTTAAAGATACTTTTCTGTGCCAAGAACAAATGGAGGGCTTCCCACTGGACCACATCCTAGCGCTAAGAGTAATCATGTCTCCAAATAGCCCTGCGTATCTTGGGTTTCACCCAGTACATTATTATATAGTTCATTATTTAAATCTGTGATTGAAGGATAGATCTAGTCTCTTGGAAGTGGGGGAGAAAGGGTTTCTAGAATGTTGAGTTCCAGTGACCATATCAGTCCAGGCAAAGGAAATATAAAGTGCCCACTACATTTTCCTCTTTCAGGGCACTGCAACAGTGATGAAGAAGTTTTCCATCGCTGTCAACAGCCTTCACAAGCAAGAGCGATTCTCTTCAAAGAGCTCCCTCCTCTTTTCATTTGCCAGCTAATTCAAGCTACCAAAGCAATTCCTTTAATGTCTAATCATTTTCATTATGTACTGATGTGATATTACAACAGAAAATATAAACAGCAGCTCTTCAAAGATGCTTGACATCTAGCTTGAGTCAGCCTCTAAGCAGGATTCTTCTCCATCCCACCAAAGCTGCTTAGTTACATTTGCTCTTTGCATTGTACATTATGAAACACACGTTGATATGGCAGCAGCCTTTACTCCCTTTTATCATTTCCCAGCTTAAGAGTTGCAGAAAGTGACTTACAAGGCTGGACCTAATCAACCAACTAATGCAAGGGCACGGCAGTGAGCTAAATTTAAGATGGGAGATTTTGCAGAATGTAGGATTCCTGAAACTATGACAGTTACCAAGCTAGAAAGAATCAGAGAGCAGTAAACCAGCTGCGACTACACAGTCCATCAGTCTTTCCTTTAAAAATATGTCAGGAGACCCATCCAACTTCAGTGGTACCTCGGGTTACATACGCTTCAGGTTACATATGCTTCAGGTTACAGACTCTGCTAACCCAGAAATAGTACCTCGGGTTAAGAACTTTGCTTCAGGATGAGAACAGAGATCATGTGGTGGCGGCGCAGCGGAGGCCCCATTAGCTAAAGTGGTAGCTCAGGTTAAGAACAGTTTCAGGTTAAGAACGGGCCTCCGAAATGAATTAAGTACTTAACCCGAGGTACCACTGTACTACACTTAAAGCCCTCATCTTCCTTTGAGGCCTTGAGATACTTACCGTATTTTTCGCCCCATAGGGCGCACCTAGTTTTTTTGGGGGGGAATAAAGGGGAAAAAAATTATTTCCCCCACAGGCGCGGGGCTGGGGCGGGGGAAGCCCGAGCTTCCCCAGCCCCCAGAACAGGCGCGACTGTTCTCCGCAAGCCGTGGGAGCCCTCCCATGGCTTGCGGAGAGCTACCTGAAGCCCAGGCGCGACTGCTCAGCGCGCCCAGGCTTCGGGATGCAGGCAGCTCTCCGCAAGCCGTGGGAGCCCGGCGGGAACTCCCGCGGGCTCCCAAGGCTTGCAGATAGCTTCCTGAAGCCTGGAGAGCGAGAGGGGTCGGTGCGCACCACCCCTCTCGCTCTCCAGGCTTCAGCGAAAGCCTGCATTCGCCCCATAGGACGCACACACATTTCCCCTTCATTTTTGGAGGGGGAAAAGTGCGTCCTATAGGGCAAAAAATACGGTAATAGAATGAGGCGGCAAGGCTCCATGGCATTCCTTCAATTTGCTTTTGACAGAATGCAAATAGTATCAGATAAGCTATTATAATTGGGAGCTAGAAAAGTCATTGCTTTAACATATAGAAGCCCAGTATGAAAATCTAAGCAAAAAAAGGATCCTCTCTCTTATGTACATGTAAGAATAGTCATGAAACAATTCAGTCTGTAATCCTATGCATGCCTATTAGGGTATAAGTCTCATTGTACAAAATCAGAGCTTACCTAGAAGTGATTATGCCCAGGATTAAAACTTGAGAGTGGCAGACTGCACATCACATATAAATTGTGTGTATCTAAACACCAATGTTCTATGTTCATTTGATGAAAAGTACTATTGGGAGGCTACGATTTCAAACACAGGAGCAGCATAGGGAGCGCTTAGCCCTTTCCCTGCTAGGCCTTTTTTCAGTCAAAACTCCCCACCCAAGGGATTCCAGATGCTTGTTTAGTCTTGCAAATATGCATCCCAATCTATGCAAAGGTAGAAGCAGTTGGACCGTATGATTTTGAAGGAGACATGATTGGAGGGGGAAAGGTTAAACACACACACACACACACCATTTTTAAATGGAGTGTGAGATTTCAGAAAATCATCTTCAAAAGATTTAGGGACCTATTACAAAAATTGGATGTGGTTTTGTTTATTTCTGCAGGAATGGGTTTTTGCCAACATATACATTCTGAGCTGAGGAACTGGTTTCAATACCAGTACTGATCTCTGCTCATGATCCTTTCACACACAAAAAATTCGTTTCTGGTAACCTTTCCTTATCTCAACAAGCTAATTTAGGTTGAAGGGGTTGTTTTGTTATTGCTATGGCTAAAAATAAATAATTTTGGAGATAGTCTTTGTTAATCCACTGCCAATCAGCTAGAAAACTACCCATTTTAAACTGGTTTTTAATGTTGTGTGATACTGTGTTTTAATATTAATGTTATATTTTAATTGCAAGCCACTCTGGGACCCTAGGGTGAAGGGCAGGTAATAAATAGTAGTAGTTGTAGTAGTAGTAGTAGTAATACATTCCAATCTATCTTCTGCCTTACCCACCCCTTGTTTATTCTCAACTGTCACAAAGGAAAAACAACCATTTGTGTGCCAAGCATTCCCAGAAATAAAATTTCCTTCAACTGAGCGCTAACAAAACAAAAAAAAGCAACACATGTAGACATGATAAGGTTTTTAAACAAATCTGCCTGAGAAGGCAGCACAGTTGTGATGATCTTTCAGCTAGCTGCAATTTAGACAGTTCTGCCCGCACCCATGTCTGGTTTATGCAAAGTCTTGGTGGTTTATTATCTCAGAGTTAACTGCTCTGAAACCTTCCTGCAGCAGCTGAATACTAAAGTTCAGCTACAAAACACTAGTCTCATTTCAAGTTTCCTTGGAGGGGCTTCCTCATTTCTGTTGACAAAGACCGAGATTGCTACATTTCCTGACGTGTACATTTCAATCACTACCGCAAAAAAATAAACAGAAGAGATTTGCACCACTACCTTTCATAGCCTACCTGCTGAAATCAGATTTACCGGTACTGAACTTTGAACCAAAGTTCCATGCAGAACTCAAAGCACCACCTTAAGCACAGAGTAATCCTGTACAAATGCTGCTTTGAATGTTTTAGGGCACTAGTGGAAAGACTCAGAATTATGTTGCAAGCCGTTTTTACAGGTAATACCAGAGTTAATGGTCACTTTACCATTAGCAGCATCCTGATCAGGCTCTTCCTATATGCTTGGACATTGTTGAAATACTCCACAAGCAACTAAATGTGTGATTTAAATATTTAGCCAAGTGGGAAAACATACAGCAATTCTTAAAGATTTTAACGTTTTTAAATGCATTAGAATAACAAAAAATGATAACTGGTGATATCATTTGTGGATATGTGCTTGATATAGGTGGTGTAAAGCCAGGATCTCTGCATCCTGAGAGGCAGTAAAGGGTGAAAGTCTGATGCAACTGCTAAAAAAATGAATACAAGCCTTCTGAGTCCAGTTTAAACTGCGGACAAATTTACCAAAGTACTTTTGTTCCTGGCAGCCCTCCAAAAAATGTAAAGCTGTGTGATAAGTAAAGCATGCCAGGAAAAGCTGCACCTGTTAGTTGTGCAGCCAGAGGCCATCCAGGAAAGACAAAAAGCTGAAAACTCCACTCTGGGGCAAGCTGCTCATGCTAGGAGGAGACTTAACAGCAGCAGAGGAAAAACCTCACCTTGTCCGATTTGGCTTCCCAGAACCTCCCTTTTGCAACACATTATCTTGTACAATCTGTGTGTACGTGCAATGCTGCGCTAATTTCATAAAGTACGAAATAAGGGGCCAATGGTAACTGGTTTGTTTTCACTCTCAAAAAATCCAAAACTAAACCGCTCTCCCAACAATAAGCAAACATCCCTGTGCTTTCTAAACTTTCCTTCACAACGTTAGGCTCTGCCTATCCTCATTTGTGACTGGTTTGGAACCAGTTTTAGAACATTAAAAAAAATGCTAGCAGGTTGCCATGCTGCAGAGTGAAATGTCTCAGAACATGCCCACTGGAGGCAATTTGCTAAGCTTTGTTGTAAACACAAAAACAAAGCCTTTGAGCATGTCGATGAGTTAATTAGTGATTACTGCAGGCAGCCCTCATATAGACCTTGGTAGTAGTTCTCATTTTGCTCCCTGTAAAAAGCAGTATTATTTTGCAATGAAAGCTAGGGCCATCATTACTGAATATTTTTCCCTAGCATGTATTGTCTTAGCATATCATCATGTGTGCTACCACCAATACACCCCAAATATGTTATGGTTAAGTAAATATGCAAATAACTTTCTTACTCTCCAGCATATACTTCTTGGTAATTGGTAAAGGCAGCAGTCGGATATGACTAATGAGGGAGCCCCACGCATGGGTTCTGGAGAGCGTCGTTTCAGGTGGCGAAAGCGTATGCGGCTGGATCATAAAGTACGCAGTTAGTAAAACTAACCCCAGCATAACCAGGCCCTGCAAGAGAAGACAAGCATTAGATTAGTCACAGGCACTTGTTCTGAGTGAGAACTGTCCCTTTCAGGTAATCATGTAGCTTATGATCTGCTGAGCTAAATCGCTTTGACACCATGAAGTTACAGAGCGAGGATGGGGAACCTGGGGCCCTCCAGATGTGGATGGACTCCAGCTCCCATCAGCCCTAACCACTGGCCTTCCCCATCCCTGCTTTAGTGTCACTGCCTGCTGACAAAAGCTGTTGCAGGAATATAGGTTCAAATACTCTAGTGAATATGGTTATCAATGAGGGGATGTTACTTGCAGTGCATTATCGCTCAGTACATACTCTTGCCTATACATCAGTACCATAATGTGATCCCTGTGCATTTAATAATACAGTAGTGGCCAAAATGCAAATATGCAACCAGACTTTCAGCAACAAAACTAGGTCAGGCATCCAGGCACCAAAAGTTTGACCCTGTGTGCCAGTTCTTTCTAACATTCCTGCCAGACAACAGGCATGGTAACGAAAGGCATTGCAGTGATTCAAGCCTTTATCTCGCTTGATATATTCTGGCCATTAGGTTTCACTCCATTAGGTTGACCTCAAACTGTGGTCCATTTTGTATAAGGACATGCACAAGTACAAGATCATCCACAAATGCTTTACCTTATAGAGTACCATCAAAAGAGGGTAGCGTGGGGGTCCCCTTTGGGGCTCATTTTTTTCCAAGAGTTGCCTGATGAATTTCTCAATGGCCTTTTCAGACATACCACACTGATAACCGGTCTGCCTCACTAAGTCAATGGTCTCCGAGAGTTTATCATAAATGCTGAGTTCGCTGGCAGAAAGCTCCATGTCCTCTGGTGAAAAATCCTATTAAGGAAAATTCAAAACATTAAGAAACAAGATATTCCAGTGCCTCAAAGATCATAGGAGAGGACAGCAAATTCCTAATCTAAGCAAGGTTTCTTTGTGTTAAAATTGCAAAGCTGGCTGTGAGGTCTCATTAACATAGCTCATTAAACTCCACCCAGATCCTTGATTTTAAACATTCTAAAATAGGGCTAGTTTGTTCATCTAAGTAAAACACATAATGACTACTATAAAAGTATCATCGTTGTTTACATTGAAACTGCAGAAATTGGCACAGAGAGGGATGAAGTCACTGTGCGGGTGGAATAATGTCACTCACGCAATATAACTTCTCTCTTTCTTCCTCCCCCCCCCCTCCATCTACCGTGGGGGTTCTCCAACCCTTCAGAGCTGATGGAGCTGGGGGTAGGAGGAGAGGAACTTCTATTAAACCAGTGGAAGCTGTTTCACTGTTTTCCTCATGCAATGACTTAGTTAGATGCAACTGTACACAAACATATTATGGTAAAAGCTTTCATAGACATCTAAGGAAGTGGACTGTAGTCCACAAAATCTTGTGGCATTACAAACATGCTAGGCCAAGGCTCTTTGTCCTACAACTATGAGTACCACCTAATAGGAAGTGGTTGCCTTCACACCCTGCTTGTGAATTTCCAAGAAAACATGGGAAGCCATAGCGAATGCTGGATTAGATACATTTACAGACAGAAACCACCGTATTTACTCGAATCTAATGTTCACCTTTTTGGCCAAATTACATTGCAAAAATTGAGGTGTGCGTTAGATTTGATGGCGTATTAGACTTGAGTAAATATGGTATACACAAAGAAGTTTTATTTTCTCAAGGTAGCACAAAAGCTATTTCACAAAAGGTCCACTTTTTACAAATGAGGATCTGACTCACAAAACCTATTTCTGGTCAAGGGAGAGCAAGAACAACATACACAAGCAGACTTACAGGTAAACTTTTGAGCCTTCTTATAGTTTAGCATTTGTTAAACATCCGTTTTAGCACCAAACTACCATTCAGTTATCAAACCTTTCATTCACGATTTCTTTACTGCAAGGGTACTCTGTTATTTATGAAACTCTCAACAATTTAGTATCAAGGCCAACCCATCCATGTACAACTAAAAATGTGACAAGAAGATACTGAAAGGAGGAAATATGTAGAGGGTCAAGCCATTCCTGAAGTACCCCTCAAGGTCCTGGTGTATGATGACTCTATGCAATCATGTACTGGCAGGAGAAATGCTTAATTTCTAAGTAAAGAGAGAGAGTCCAAAATGAGCTATGTATCAACAGGAGGACGCAACGGGTTTACAGCTGTATTACTATTGTTTTTATAGCATTTTCCCAGCAAAAGATGTGCTTTAGAATTCTGACTTCCTTGTGAGATCCAACACTCCACAACAAACAAGCAGCACCAGCAGCTCTGATCTTCATACACACAGTCAGACCCGATTCCTGTGTTGGATTCAGTGTTCCAGCCCTGGGAACAAAACACTCAGCACAATTCCCCCCCAAAATAGGAAGTGTGTGCAGAAGCAGGGCCAGCCCAATACATTTTGGCACCTAAGGCAAACCACAAAATGGTGTGTGTGTGTGTCCCACCCCAAGGAAGAAAGAGTGAAGATCTACATCAGAAACAATGGGAGAATAAAGATCTACATCGGGAACAAGGGGGTGGGGTCAAATCAACCTCTGAATTTGTTGGAGATGAGGAAACTGGCATAGAATCATAGAATCGTAGGAAGGGAACCTGAGGATCATCTAGTCCAACCCCCTGCAATGCAGTTGTCCCATACAGGGATCGAACCTGCAACTTTGGCATTATAATCACCTGAGCTATCCAGGCATGCTATAAGTCAATTGCCTCCAGATAATGCTTTACAAAGTGATTTTTTAAATATATGGTCACATAATTGTCTTACATAAGATAGTATATACATCATATACATCAGTTAATATGTTTTCAACTAGATATTAAATCTAGTACAATTTCCTTTTTTACAGGATTGCATCAATGGGCCTAGTTAGAATCTAGATTTGGGCAACAAACTTTCTCCAGGTGAGACTGGTTTGAGAACCTAAGATTTTTCTTGCCCTCTGTAGCAAAGAAAGAAAAACTATAGATCATCTGTGGCTCCCTTGAGCCACCTAGATTTCAGTCACTAGATGTACACACTGCTTTCTGTCGACTTCTTTAATGTACCACGTTCTAACCTCTACCGTTGTTAAATGAATAAGGAGCTGCATCAATGAAGAGGGATGGGCAATATGACCTTCAGATTTGTTCTGGTCTCACATTTTTGTAGCCAAGGGATAATTCAGACTTAAAGCGATAACTCAGAAATAAGAATACCCCATAATGGTTAGAACAGTTTTAACAGCACACTTCTATGCATGTTTACTCAGAAGTAAGGCACGCTGTTTGGCTTCCTCCCAACAACACAGGATTGAAGCCTTAGAGACACTACTCCAGAGTCTGAATTGAAATGGGGCATTTACACTGCATGGTTGACTTTGCAAATCTATAACGCAGCCCTGTTTTACTTTATGTGCATATGCATGAAGAGGTAAAGCCTCATCACTTACTGTAAAAGTCTCATGAAACTGCCAACATTCACAAGACTCAGCATAAATGACACAGGAACTCATTCTAGCATTCATTCATTCACCTGTATGAAATCAACAACATACCTGAGATTCTAACCCTATACGCCTTCAGGGATTATGTAACACTGGTGAGATTGTAAACACCAGCTGCAAGAAATATGATCCTCGACATGCACAAATGACAAAAGCACAGGCTTATTTATGTTGAACACAAACTTCCAGATTTCTGCTAGGCAGTGGTTCTTCCCAGTTGCTAGTCCACAGACCCCAGGGAATCCGTGTAACCCACCCAGGGGGTCCGTGGCACCATTCATAGAACAAAAACTACCGTGGAGTTATCAATAATTACAAATGGAGGCGTTCTGTGACTTGGCTTTCGAAAAACAGGGGGTCTAAAATACTTAGCTAATTAGGAAACACCGTACATGTTAGAACCCACTTAAGAGAGAGCTGGACCACAATTTATGGAACTTACTGCTACCCCTTAAAACACCCTTTTTTTTTCTCTCCCACTGACCGCCACTGACATTCCAAGCTGTGGGGCGCGAGGAAAGCACCGGCCACTGACAGGAGCATGGAGGCCTTTGGTCCCCCACACCCCGGTCTCCTCCGAAGGGGGCAGCCGGCCTGGGACAGTCCGCCCCGCCTTTGGGGCTGCCCTTCTCCCCTGTCATGCCCAGGCTCCCGACGAGACCCCCATCCCCACCCCCACCAAGCGGCCAAGAGACCCCACCCCCACCCGGAGGCTTCTCCCGCCTTCCCTTGCAAGCGGCCCTCCCTCGCCCACGCGCCTCCTCACCCCATGAACCGCCGCCCGGGTGGCTCCCACCAGACTGGAGAGGCGGAGCGCAGCGAGCATGGGAGCAGGCGAGGAGGAGGGCTGGGCCTGGCGCTTCCTGCTTCCGGGCAGCGGAACGGGAGCGAGCCCCCAGATTCCCCGCAGCACTTTCGCCTCTCTCGGCGGCGCCCGCACGGCCGCGCCACCTCCCCGGACAGGGGCTCTAGCTCGCCGCGGTTCAAGAAGCCACCGCCCATGGTCGCCAGTTGGTGGTCAGCGGCCCTCCGGCTGTGCGGTGCAGCCCCGTCACGTGGGCGTTTACTCGTGAGGAAGGCCGCACCCTGGCGGTCAGCGGGGCTTGCGCCCCGAGGAAGCGGACTCAGCTGAGTCAGAACCCGCCGAGCCCGTTTTACTCCACACTGACTGGCAGCGGGATGCTGACTGGCATCCTCTGTCTAGGGCAGTGGTTCCCAACCTTTTTTTGGCCGTGCCCTTTCTGAGCATCTCTAAAATCCTTATCCCCACCCCCTCCTCTGACATATAATTCTTATTATTCAAAAAGTGAACTCCTATTCACGTGGAGGAAGCCTAAAAGTCCATTAACTGTTAATAACGCATTCTCGAATTGCCCCTCTTAAAAATCAAATTGCCCTCCTGTGTGGGGTGTGCCCCACGTTGGGAAGCACGGGTCTAGGGTGTGAATGAAGGGGCTTCGTCCCACATGGATAGGTAGATAGATATCTGGGAGGAAGTTACATTGAATTCATGGGGCGGGGGGGGGGGGCCCTTACTTCTGAGCAGACACAAATAGGTTTGCACTACTTGTCTTCTTGAACAGTTGTAAGAATGTCTTCCAGGATGGCTTCTGTGAGACCAAACCTAATGCAAAATGCTGTATGTGGAGGTTAAGTCCGCTGTCTTACTTCCAAGTAGTAAGAGCCACGGAACCGCAGTCTTCATCGCCAGCCCTGGGCTCATAGTGTAGCAGGGTTGGTAGATGACATTTTCAAACAGGTTCTCTGGCGATTGCCTCAACATTCATTCAGTCATTTCAGGAAAGTAGGCTATAGCTAAGAACCATCATCCTCATTCCCTCCATTAGGTGCTTGAGTGCATGTCTATTTGCAAGGAAAATTGGGGCACCTAAAAAGAAGGTAGTGATTTCTATATACTCCTAGGAATCCCTAAGTAAGCAGAAATATATATGTGTCTAAAAATAAAATAAAAACCCAAGTACCTGTGGTTTTAAGTACTTCTTCACACAGTGCATAGTCAAACTATGGAACTTGCTCCCCCAGGAGACAGTGATGGCCACTAACCTGGATGGCTTTAAAAGACAATTAGACAAATTCATGGAGCCATCAATGGCTACTAGCCATGATGGCTATGCTCTGCTTTCATGGTTGGGCGGCAGCAATGTTTTCAAATACCAGTTGCTGGAAGCCACACAACGAATGAGTGCTCTTCTGCTCAAATTCTGCTTGCTGGTTTGCCACAGGCATCTAGTTGGTAACTATAAGAACAGGATGCTAGACAAGATGGGCCACTGACTGTTCTTATGTTTCTGTGCTGTACAGAATCTTGAGATTTCCATAGGGCTTGTGGCATCTTAAAGACTAACACAATAGCATACACTTGCATGGGTTACAGTCCATTTTATTGGAAGTTTAAATTGTTATCTTGACTTGCAGGTATGGGATGGGGTGGGGTGGGAGGAATTATAAACAGTGAGGTCAAAGGGAAATGAAATGCAGTGGGGGGTGGGAAGTACAGTGATAATAATTACCCAATTAACCAGTTAAACCATCAAACAGTTGATAACACAGGAATTGTTAGGCCAGTTAACACAATATGCTAAAGCTCCTCTGTTTTCTTTCAGTCCACAAGTGATAGCATGTTTCACACTGCATACTCCTTTGCTCTAGTTGAAGTGGAAAAAGTTTGGAAAAAGAAAAAGAGATTGAGTTGGCAGGGAGGGGATGAAGAGTTTAGTGGCCTGTTCAAGCCTCTAACAAGGATTGCCAATGTGGTGCCCTCCAGATATTGTTGGACTAACTCACATTATCCTTGATTGTTAAATAGGCTGATGGGAGCTCGAGTCTAACAACATCTGGAGGGCACCATGTTTGCTACCCCTGCCCTAACATCTTTATCCTGGCCTTAGGGTTGGCGGGTGCATGCCAGGAGACTTAAAAAAAAAATCCATCCCAGGGATTTTTCCAACGGAGGGTCCAAGGCTGCCCCTCACATTTCTTTTAATTCCTTTATTATTCATTTCCCTTTGTATTCATTTGAGGGCCAGATTTCTGCAGAATTTTCACTTCCCAGTTGGGAATCTATGATCACCACAAAAATAGCACCCTTGTCATCAAAAAATATTTTAGAGCCACAAAGCTGAATATTTTTTAAGCTGATGTTTCCTGTCAGATGGTATGATATTTTAATCTTTGAGCCTGCAAACGCAAGTCCAAAGCTGTAGCAGAATCGAGAGACAAGTTATTATAAGCAAAACAATATTTAAAATGCAGCACACTTGGCACTATTTATGCTCCAATTATTGTCATTATCTCTGAACAGACACTGAACACAGTGTTTTGTTCTTGTTTACAGGCTGATTTATGATTAGCATGTGGATTTTCTTCATACTTGTGGAATTTGCTTATAAACAGCTGTTTTCATTAGAAAACTAATTTCACCGTTGTTGATTTTTAAGTTGTTTACAGATTTCAAGAAATTCAAATTGGAAGAAATTCAGATTGACCCAACCTTGTTAATACAATCAATGGTGAATTTTAAATTGTGTTTGCTGCCATCTTACGGAGAAAATCAAGCAATTGTAAGACAGTCACCTTCTGCTATATCCCTTTGGAAAAGGGTAGCTAGAAGCAAGAAAAGCGCCACCTTCTGTGCATGACTGAAATAGCATTTACAAAAAAACTTTTGTCTATGTGTAGCACCCCAGCTATACATGGATGCTGGAAAAACAAAGGGTGGTAGAAAGGAGCAGGGGATCTGACAACAACAATTTATTATTTGTACCCTGCCCATCTGGCTAGGTTTCCCCAGCCACTCTGTGCGGCTTCCATCAAAGATTAAAAATACATTAAAATGTCACACATTAAAAACTTCCCTGAACAGGGCTGCCTTCACATGTCTTCTAAGTGTCAGATAGTTGTTTATCTCTTTGACATCTGATGGGAGGGCATTCCACAGGGTGGGCGCCACTACCGAGAAGGCCCTCTGCCTGGTTCCCTGTAGCTTTGCTTCTCGCAGTGAGGGAACCACCAGAAGGCCCTCGGCGCTGGACCTCAGCATCCGGGGAGAACGATAGGGATGTAGACACTCCTTCAGGTATACTGGGCCCAGGCCGTTGAGGGCTTTAAAGTTCAACACCAACACTTTGAATTGTGCTTGGAAACGTATAACATTACAGTAGAGCTTTCCAAACTTTTAATGTTGGTGACACACTTTTTAGACATGCATCATTTTGCGACACAGTAATTCAGTTTTGCTAGCAAACCAGAGGTTAAACTAACCCCTTATAAGAGTGTTCGCGCAACACACCTACACACTGCAGCCAACACATTAACGTGTTGCTACACACAGTTTGGAAAGCTCTGCATTACAGTTTTCCAGCTGAAAACATTATAGCTTTGCAACTGTTCTTGTTTAACTTGAATACCACATACTTAGATTTTTTCTAAAAGTGAATCTGTACTGATTATTCTTATTATTTTAAAACATTTGTAAAACTGTTGAGGACCATGTGCTTTAGTGAGTGCCTGTACCCTCAGATCAGCTTCTAATACTTTACTCCAAGTACCACCCCACTGTTAACAGCAAAATCATGCTACACAAAACATTGAGAAAGAATTTACCAACCATAACAGCATAGGAATTGAAAGTGTATTAATATGCAAAGCTTACAGAGTTATATAAGAATGAAAAGAGAAGGAGCAAACAATTAATTTGTTCAGAATCAGAATATGTTTGTTGATTATTGGCATAATAAAGCACATCTTTCAGGAGATAATTGCTTATAGCAACTAGCTTGGTATTGGGAGGGGGAAATTATTGGAATGAACTAGAGATTCTTCTCTGGCCTGTTGTCAAGAAAGTTTACAGAGCAAAGAACAGATCTGGAGGAATATAAGGTTTGAAAGCTGCTTTGGGACACCAATGTAAAATCTGGCCAATGTGAATTGGCAAGGTTCCCATGCTATATAAGGTGGACTGAGCACCAGACTCAAGGGGGAACAAAACATGTCTAACCACATAACAGCCACAAGGATCTGTTGAAAGCCATTAGCTTTAAACATCTCATCTTTTGCCTTTTGGTTATGAGCAGCATCCTCTTTTCTTTCCAGATGGCACTGGAAGCTCCAAAATCTCCTGCTTGAACTTATCTTCATGAGTTTTCAGCAACCTGACATGATAAACATAGAGGGAAACATGTTAAGTATTTTGCTCAAGTCTAGAGGATTTTCAGAAGCTCTCACACTGTGTTCACACAATGCTAAAGCATGGTTTTGTGGGAAATTGCAGTCAAACATAACTGCATGACTGCTAGTTGGTGCAAGAAGGGGTAAAGACCACAGATTTAGTTTCCTAGACTCAGCTAGGTTACACCCCCTCTTCTCCAATGAAGAAGGAAGTGAAGTCTTCTCTTCCTGTTCCCTCTCTCTCTGCACCACGTCACTGGCTAAGGAAGATGTATCTAAGCAAGCTCCAGGCTTACAGCTCATATTTGGAACACCGTATTTGTATTTTCTACCCAAGAGTATTCTGCCTTTGTTCTCCTACTGCTGCTTGCATAAATGCATGAATCTGACCTTTGGAATGTTTTGTTCATAAAGCATTTATTTATTTAACAGTGTGTGGTCTGTTCACCGGAAGAGGGGTAGAATGAGAAGAGCACTTTGCAAGTGGACTAAATGGGGTGTGCAAAAGGTTTAACAGCCTACATTCCTAATGCTTCACTGTAAAGCCAATGTTTGGGCTTGTGGAAGCTGAGTCACCCATGTACCTCTAAACCCAGGTTTAGTGTTCTGTGTGAACATAGGTACAATTTCAATCACATTCAGGCAGTCCTTAAAAACAGTTTACTGAAATATGGATGGGCTATTTCTTGTGTTACAAAATTCCTATCCAGAAGAAAAACTTATGCATAATAATTTACTGCATCATCCCTTTGTAGAATGTTTGATGTTCTATATTTGGTACCTGGGAAATCACATTCCCCCCCTCAAGATGTTCTCATCTATTGCTGTTATAATGACTGTGTGACTGCATTGGTTATTGTCTGTGCTGCTGTTCATGGCAAACAAAACAACTCCCGTCCAGCAGTGTACCTCCATTTGGCTGAGTCTCTGGACTGTACCAGGATGGAAGGAGGAAGAGGCATGATGGCAGCATGTTTGGCATGGTGCAAACACACTAATGGAGCCAATCTGGCACTCCTGCCAGCAGGTTTGCACCATGCCATCCTCACTGTGCACCCCTCCTCCTCTGAGTCCCAGTATGCTGAATCAACACAGCTGTACAGAGATCTGGTGAATGACACAGCCCCACCACACCATCTGCTGCAGCTCCCATGCCACACCAAGTCCATGCTATTTGCTGAAGAGCCACCAGTTACCCACCTTACCAATTTGACCATGGATTCAGTCACATTCTGACCTAAGGCAGCACTGCATTCATTAAATGAGAGTCCATACTCCTGGCAAAAAAAATATATGAGAACAAAACAAACAAATGCACATCCTTTAAAGCAGTGGTAGTTGAAAAACATTATGCCTAATTGGGGAAACACAACAACTTTCAGCTCCACCACCTGACCTCGTAGCTACACATTTTTACCATGAACATGATCAAACGTGACTATTCCTGCTGTAAAGATCCACCCTACCCCTGACATCTCATCTTTGACCAAATTATCTTGGCAAATTTTGCTACTGCATATCTACAGACAGAGCAAATTATTCATGACATTTGGGCAAAGGCTTATGTTGAGTGAGCTGTCAGGGGGAGTGGGAAGGATCCATGCCCATGGAGTGCAAAATACTAGTCCAATGTACTTCTCCATCAAAGTTATCCTACCTCTTCATAAAAGAGTCAAGACTCAGACAAAGGTGCATGGTTTAAAAGATATAAGGTAAAGGTAAAGGACCTGTGGTCAGTTAAGTCCAAGGCAACTATGGGGTGTGGCACTCAACTCGCTTTTAGGCTGAGGAAACCGGCATTTGTCAGACAGCTTTCTGGGTCATGACTAAACCACTTCTGGTGCAACGGGACATCCTGATGAGTACCAGAGCACACGGAAATGCCATTTACCTTCCCGCCGCAGCGGTACCTATTTATCTACTTGCACTGGTATGCTTTTGAACTGCTAGGTTGACAGAAGCCGGGACAAAGCAAGGGGAGCTCACCCCATTGAGCAGATTCGAACCACCGACCTTCTGATCAGCAAGCCCAAGAGGCTCAGTGGTTTAGACCACAGAGCCACCTGTGTCCGTAAAAAAGATGTAAAAGGCAGCCTGTCTCTGTCCCTCCATACCATTGCCTATGAATGAGCCCTGCAAACCCCACGTGTTCACCTATACCAGAGCATCAGAATCTCTTGATGAGGTCCCAAGACTCCTGACCACCATCTTAATGGCAACTCCACCCACCCAGTAAAAATCCATGCATGTTGATTTGTTTCTTAACTGTGTGTTGGTTTTTGTCCTCAAAATGTTGTTTTTGTCTGCTACAACTGGTAATCAAGAATCCATGTGATCCTTGCAACTAAGTTGCTGAGGATCACAAGCTGCACAGTTCTACTAAGCTAATATCCTTGTAGGTTTCCTACAGGCGCCTGGTTGACCAATGTTGGAAAGAGGAAGCTGGACTAAACGGGCTTGGGGCCTGATCCCGCAGGGCTCTTCCTACATCCTGATGTCATTAAGCACAATTGGATTTAGTTAGGAGAAGGGGAAAAAGCAATCAGAGGAAGAGAGCATTATGATTTTGTGGTCACTTCCAAGCCATAGGTGAACGCATGAGTCATATATGTGCATTTGATTTTTTTCCTATGCCTCTGGCCTAAATCAATCAACCTCAAAAGCAGCACTACATTATATTACTTTTAATTTATTCTGACTTTGTTTTGGTTTGCCAAACTCAGGGGAGAAGGAATTACAAAGATAAGAGGAAAGCTTAAGGGTAGACCTTGGCCAAGTATGCACCGTCCTCTGAAGAGACTCTTCTTTCTGCAGCACAGTCTGTTTTGTTACCAAGCAGAAGGATGACAACTCCATCTTCTGAGCCTTCCTGTGAAGAAACGCACATGCTTCTTCAAATATGAGCTGAAGCCAAAATGACAGCGATAAAGGACCGTCTATTGCATTTCTACAGTGGCTACAAATAGGATAGGCTGCAAAATAATCCTTCCTAGTTCCTGACAATTAAGGAAACCAAAGTACGTTGAAAATATGAGAGGTCCTCTTCTCCCAACTCATTTTTGCATCCATATTTTATATACCTGAGTTGCCATATCTCTTAGAATAGGCAAAATCTTTCCCATATTTCATTAAACAGTGGTTTGGAAACTGCAGATGGTATAGAATTCTGTGGCATAGAATTATGGGGGCAGACAGTCTAAACATATAGCATGAATTCTAGCAGGAATACACGGGCTACCAATTTGTTTCCAGGGTCAATACAAAGTGCTGGTTTTGACCTATAAAGCCTAATGCTGCTTAGGTCTTAAGAATCGCCTCTCCCCACATCCTGGCATAAACCCAGTTATCATCTGAGCCCTTTTTCATTTGCCTCCTATACAGGAGGTTTGGGGGGTAGCAACATGAGCTTGGGCCTTTTCAGTGGTGGCCCCTACTTGTGGAATGCTCTATTCTGTGCTATCTTTTTCTTTAGGTGCCAGGCAAAGACTCTTCTCTTTACCCACCTCTTGGCTCTTAATTTTAAGGGTGGTATTGTGGCCTCTTTTAGTGAGATCAGTAAGTCCCGATCTGTTGCGTCTGTTTAAAAATATGTGGTTTTAAAAAAATTATTAGATGTGTTCAATTGGTTTTAACGTTTGGGTCACTCTGTGGTAGAAAAGTGACTAAAAAAATCAAATAAATAAAACTTCATAACAGTCTTGTGAAGCTCAGGCTGACCAGGAATGGCCCCCATTTTATGGGTGGAAGAATTTTCTTGCCCGGGATTTGATTTAAGGTGTTCTAGTTCAACATTCTGTCCCAGGGATGGGAAACCCTTTTCAACCCAAAAGCCACACTTCCTTCTGAGTAACCTTCTGGGGACTGCATGGCCATGGTGGGTGTGGCCAGAGGCAAGAGTGGGCATAGCAACAGATCTGACTCTTACCTTTGTATAGTAGGGTACATTCCAACCATGCAAAAGCCAGAAGTTTCTACACTCACAAAACTCCCCATCCTTCATCCACACAAGCAAGAAAAAGGCATTGTTGCAGTTCAGTGAGACATTCCAGCCAAGCAAAAGCACTCATGTATGTTCCAGCATCTGTACTTTTCCAGCATCTGTTAGTTCTAACAATCATGGACCCTTTGCTATTTTAATTACCAATCATGCACTTTCTAGCATATATACTAAAAAAAGCAGTACAGATTTTTCTAGTTTGCAACTTCCATGACAAGAATGAGTTAGCAAATGTATCTCATGATGACTCAGCAACCATCATGTACTGTTGTTAATCAGGTCCGCAGTTGTAGCCACACGGGACATGGGCGTAACCAGGATTTTTGGGGGTTTTTTGGGAGGCAGGTCTTTTGTTGTAGGGGGGGCAGAACCTCGGATAGCTATGTATTTTTATTGATTTTTATTGATTTGGGAGGGCAGCTGCCCCTCCTTGCCCCCCCTGGCTAAGCTCATGGCATGGGAATAACACCACAGAGAGGTGGATAAGGCTGCAGTCCTCAGCACCTTTACTGGAAGAAAACATAACTGAATGCAGTGAGACTTAAAAGGTAAAGGTATTCCTGATGATTAGGTCCAGTCGCGGACGACTCTGGGGTTGCGGCGCTCATCTCGCTTTACTGGCCGAGGGAGCCGGCGTACAGCTTCCGGGTCATGTAGCCAGCATGACTAAGCTGCTTCTGGCGAACCAGAGCAGCACACGGAAATGCTGTTTACCTTCCTGCCGGAGCATTACCTATTTATCTACTTGCACTTTGTGCTTTTGAACTGCTAGGTTGGCAGGAGCAGGGACTGAGCAACAGGAGCTCACCCCGTCACGGGGATTTGAACCGCTGACCTTCTGAGTGGCAAGCCCTAGGCTCTGTGGTTTAATCCACAGTGCCACCCATGCAGTGAGACTTACCTCTCATTAAACACACACAGGACTGCATTGTCCAAACTCAACAATGCAATCACCCAATCACCAAGAGCTAAAGCAGGGAAAACAAAAGCCAACCAATAATGGAAGAGAGTTGCTCTCCTTACCTGGATACAATTCATCCAGTACCGCACCTCTGCAAAGCTATGTTCTGAGGTGATATCATACATCAATACAACTCCATCAGCCTTCCGGAAGAACTGCTTGGTGATACTGTGGTATCTGTTTTGGGGAGAAATGTGTACTTTTTCTGCAACCTTTTTATAATTTATTTCTTTCTTTTTCTAGATGCAGCACCTTACACTACCTTTCTTGGCCGGCTGTGTCCCACAGGCGTAAAGCAAAGCACTTGTTATCCACAAAGAGGCTTTTGATCCGATAGTCCATTCCTAAGGGATACATTGCAGCCATTTACAATCAAGTTCACTTCACATCTCCAACCACTTCAAAGAGCTGAAAACCGCAAGCTGGAACTGCACTGATAAGAATAAAACGCAGCAGGGCTCTAGCATTTCCATCCCTGAATTTTGGGGAGATTAATAAAAGCAAAGGTACCAGAACACTGAGAAACTTGTTCAGTTTTATTATCTGAATTTTGCAGGTGTAAAACCTGACACGGAGTAATGGATTTGACTTCCTTCAATTTTAGAGTTGACTAACCTTCATACAAATAAAAAAAGGAGAACATTCAAACCAAAAGGCCACGCTAGGAGGAAACGAGCTGGAAATGCCCTATAGATAAAAAATACTCTTCCTGCTGCAGTCCTTTGAATTTCTACATGGCTCAGATTACATTGGGATTGGGACCCCTTGTGGCCATGTGAATAAATTTAACTTACTGACAGGGGCTGGGGTGGGACAGAGAAGGTCAGGCATCAGGAGTAGGCGTAGCTGGGCATCTGCCAAGGCCAAGACCCTGGCAGGGGGATCACTGTCACCCCAGAGCCTCCTACTAGCCCTGCTACTTCTAGTCCTTCCTGTCGCTCCCCTCTCTGAGCATGCATGAAGTGACAAGAGTGAGGAGGCAGAGCAGCATCCTTCAGTTGGCTTTGCACTCTCTCTCTGGGTTGTTGTGCAAATGTGAGCCCAGAGGGAGATGGGACAGCAAAGGAGGTAGACCAACTCAGGGAAGAGAGCCCACCAAGACACCTTGCCCAAGGGCTCTTGAAAAAGCTGGAGCTGATTCTTGGTATGACTCGGTGTATTTGCCAGCTTAGCAAGGGTTTTGTGGTAGTTGTTTTAACACAGGGAGAGTTTAAAAAAATTCCTTTGAACTATTTATTTGTTTCAATTCTGTTACATTTATATCTCACCTGTCTTCACAGAACCCAAGTTGGTGGGTGTATTGTTCCCAGGCAATCACCCATCTAGACACTGACCAGACCGATACCTACTTAGCTTAAGCAAAGTGATGACATTGCATGCCTTTAGAATGCGCCCTAGGACCAATTACCTTGCATATGCAGACAAACAGTGACCTGGGTGGTGTTCCCCAGCCTCAAATAGGAGAGGAAAACGAATTATGTCTTCTAATTTGCTTTTGGTTATGCAGATGCCTGCGACAGACTTACAAGAGAATAGGTCACTCAACTCCCACTTGGTTCCTCTTATTCTAAAACCATGCTCTTTCCTTCAAGTGAATGTTTTCTTTTAAGAAAACCATGCTCAATTGTGGAAAATAATGGAATATCTCTGGTGATATTCTTTTCAAAAGTAAAACTTCAAGCAAAATAATACCAACAATAAGAAAAATGCAGGTCAATCTCTAATATTGGAGTGTTATATTGTATATAGAGCTCAGGGTCACTGCCACTCCTTATGGCAAGCAGGTCCAAGAGTGGCCTAATCATACAAAAATATAGGCCAAACTGGATATATAGGCCAATACATAGCAAGCAACTAGCTATCCTATTTTTTCTTAATTAGAGATGGGCATCAGGGAGCCCAATTCTTGGTTCAAACACAGTACATAGGAAGAGGAGGTTTATCTCCACACACAAATGCTCACTGAGATTAGAACACAGACAACACACCCCATGCGGCTAGGAGCCTTAGAAATAAAAACACGTCTAGCCTAGGGGTCGGGGTGCCAACTTGAATAAAATATTTGGGGGCAGGTAAGCCCAGTCCTGCATAATTGATCGCATGATGCAGTGCACACACACCATTTGAATGGCAATCCCCATCAATCTGGGGGGTCCTGGCTCCCTCAAATATCTTATTGGGGGGCAAAGCCCCCTTGGCCCATAGGAGTTGTCTCCCATGGGAGGTACGACCCAGTGTCTCTTGTTACCTGCTGGTGAAAGATGGATTCATACCTACAGTCGCAGTCATATTTGCATCGAAGGAATCATCTTGCAGTCGGTGCAAAAAAGACGTTTTGCCAACATTAGAGTCTCCAACAAACAGCACATTATACATGTGGTCTGGACAAAAGAAAACAGCTGTGGTGTCTTTAGAAGTTGCTTTTGCATCCACATCCACTGGATAGTCTGCAGCTTCTGCTTTGACATTTGTTTCCTCATCCATTTCTACCCTGACCTCTTGATTCTTCCTACACCCTGGCAAATCCATGCATCCTTCTCTTTTGTCTTCTGATAATGTTACTTCTAGACCATCCGTGGTTTGTGTTTGCATCTCTGGTTGGAGCATATTCTCTAACTGGTGGTTTTGGAAAACGGTGATCTCTGGCTCACATCCTTCATCCAACTTGGGTAAGGCTATTCTGGGTGAGGAATGAGCAGGCGGCATATCTTCCACTGATGGGTGTTGAATCTTTTTCTCTGATGTTTTACTTTCTAGAGATTGCTTTACCACTCTCTGCTCAGAATCTGCAGGTGGCCATTGAGTCCGGCTGATACCACTGCACTTTAAAACTTGCCCGTGAAGTTGGACTGCCTGTTCTAAAATGAGAGTCTTTTCTTGCATCGAGTCTTCTTTATAGTCACCGGCTGGACTTGTCAACTCTTTATAAACAGAAGACTGCACTTCAGGAACAAGAATACATCCTCTCTGCTTTGACTCTAGAGTTTTGACTTCCCTTCTTGGCTCAGAGATGTTTGCATTCTTCACCTCCGGAGCACAAGTTAGTCTTTCTTGAAGTAGAGCATCTCTTTGCCATGAAGCTCGACCAGAAAGAGCCTCAGCACTTCTCTTCTGCAGATCGCGGTTTCTGGAGCTAGCATCATATGGAGTTATTTTTTCCTGCATTTTTCTTTGCTGAGAATTTCCATTCTCTTTAATTTGGCCCAAGAATTGAAAACCAAAGTTATCTATTTGTGGATTGTTTGATGATTCAGACACCTTGTTTACTGCTGCTATGGCATCATTCAGCTCTCTAAGCAAAGAGCTTTGGTCCACGACTTCCTGTGGGAAATATTTTTCTGGTTCTACAACGGAGTCTACCCAAGGATCCTCTTCAATGGAGATCACTCTAGTAGTTCTAGATTCTGAGCCGGCTTTGGCCATTGATGCCACACCACCAGGTGCCCTATGGGGAAATGATGGATAGAGCAGCACTCATTCAGTACAAGATAAGGAAAGTAAGAAACAAGGCCTTAGAAGCGCACAATTCCTGCTGGAGAACATCAAGATCTCATGGGCCTATGAAATGCTAACTCAACCACCAGCAAGACTTCTGGGCTCTTATGTTTGTTGCTTTCGCAAAGACTGAGTATATCTGTTTCTAACATGCATGTTTCTTCTTATAAACACAGTGAGGGATGAAAGCAGTAATGTATATCAAAAGGCCAAAGAGAAACGTGTTGGTAAACTAAGAGTCATTCCACAAAAATGAGGTAACAGGGCATTTATTAAACTGCTAAAGAATATGAGAATCTTCAAGATCAACCGTACTCTAAACTCTGTCTGTTTCCACAGCTCTTCCTTACAATCCACTGATAAGCAGTATTTTGATTTTATGGGGGAGAGCTAAAAAGTCTTCCAGAGTTAATTCTGAGGCATTCTTCAAGAGCTAGGCAGACAAAACAAATGAATGTACTAGGTTCACCTTGGGGCTGGCAACCCTTTAATGGCAATGTCTTGGTAATGTTGCTGGGACATTATTATTTATTATTATTATTATTATTATTATTATTATTAATTGTCTATTGATGGAATGTCAGTGGGGGAAGCTCTGTTTATTGTTCTTGAACCACTTTGAGATCAGCTTTGTCATTGGCAAAGCTGCATACAAATATTAAATCTGATCTAATATAATCTGTTTGGCCCCAGGATACTTTTCAAACATGCATTTGGCTTTCTGGGTGCGGCGTATGTGAAAGGTCATGAGAATATCAGGGCTGCAGACAGAAATAACGTAACTGCTTCAGTGCCCGAGCATGGACCCAGCTTCAACGAAGACTGCTGCCACTAGCATTCCTCACTTAAATGTATTAAAGGAGTATTTGGTACTTACTTCTGAGCAGAGCTGTCCAGTGTATCCTCACTTGGATTGTATCCAAATCTTCCTACCAATTCAGAGGAGCTCATCTCATTTGCACTCAGATGACCCTTAGAAGAATCACAATGGGATAAAGGCAGAAAAAGAAATAAGGATCACTTACTACCAATTTCAGTATCCACTTATGGGGGAGGATGCCTGTTGAATCTCTGCATGATCTACTGCACTGGCCTTGCCTATTTCTAATCACACATCTGGGGGGGGGGGAGAGACTGGATCAGTCCTGATACAGACATGCAACTGAATCGCTCACACTTAGGAGAGGCTGCCTGTTGAATCTCATCACAAGTCACTGCTCTGATTTTGCCTCTATCTGCAGTGCACAGAAGGCATGTCCGGAACACTGACTCATGCAGAAATATGGGAGATAGTCTCTGATGAAAATTGGTCTCTTTTCCCTCTGGAAATCCCTATGCATGTCTACACACCGCTTTGAGGGGGTTTTCTACAATCAAGTGGTATATAAGTTTTATAAAATCAATTATGATATAAAAGACTCCAATAGAAGCCCCATTGACTTCAGTGGGACTTACTCCCAGGTAAGTGTGCATAGGAGCGCAATCTAAGGCTGCAATCCTCTACACACACACTTGAACTTAAGGGGCCTTACTTCCCAAGTAAATATGCACAAGGATTGCGTTGCATTAATCATTTTGGATAGTTTGAGTGAAGTGTGCCTCCAATTTTGGTTCAGAAGAAAAAATGCGCATTGGTTAACAGATGCTTGGGAAAGCCTGATTTAATGTAACCGGATTTCTCTAATGGTGCTACTATACATGTAGGGTGCTAGATACTATCCCCAGGGCCCATGAGAGTTTAGAGTCTCCCATAATCCTATCTGCTGGTTGAAAGCACTATGGCACATGCATTAATATACAGTACTCATAGCTAGGCCACCTTTCCAGGGCAACACTTAGGCTGCTAAGTATGGTGGCACCCCATGGGGGGGCAGTTCTGAGTGACAAAGGATGCAAGGTGAACAATTAAGAAATACCTGTTGACTTTGAGTAGTCTTGACAGAGACTTCCTCTGGCGATCTGCCACTGCCAAGGAAAGAAGGGATACATTGTCACTATCCCTGTACAGTGGTACCTCGGGTTAAGAACTTAATTCGTTCTGGAGGTCTGTTCTTAACCTGAAACTGTTCTTAACCTGAAGCACCACTTTAGCTAATGGGGCCTCCTGCTGCCGCTGCGCAGCCGCTGCGCGATTTCTGTTCTCATCCTGAAGCAAAGTTCTTAACCTGAGGTATTATTTCTGGGTTAGTGGAGTCTGTAACCTGAAGCATATGTAACCTGAAGCATATGTAACCCGAGGTACCACTGTATACCGAAATGTGTTGCTTCTGCAGGGGCACAAGCCTAGTAGCAGCGATAGTGCCGCAATCCATGTAATGGCATATATTGAGGAAGGCAGGATGCCAACAGGAAATAGAATGATGCCAACAGGAAGTGGGACAGTGCAAGCAGGAAGTGCATGTTATCTCAAGGGGGCTGTGAGGGACAGCAGAGCTGCTCCACTCAATTTATGTTGTAGCTTTTTTGGAAAAGTGACATCTTTTGAGAGGTGTACCTCAGGAAGAGGTATCCCTGCCAGAAGCAATGGCCAAAATAGCCTAACCACCACCAACCTTTCCAAGGGGCAGCAAATACAGTGGTACCTCAGGTTACATACGCTTCAGGTTACAGACTCCACTAACCCAGAAATAGTACCTCGGGTTAAGAACTTTGCTTCAGGATGAGAACAGAAATCGTGCTCTGGCGGTGCGGCGGCAGCAGGAGGCCCCATTAGCTAAAGTGGTGCTTCAGGTTAAGAACAGTTTCAGGTTAAGAACGGACCTCTGGAACGAATTAAGTACTTAACCCAACCCAAGGTACCACTGTAGTCCAGTCTGCTGAGCTATTCTGCTTTTACCTCATCATCAAATCTGACTAATGGAATGAACGAACAGATGTCTGGGGCCGTAGGTGTTTTGATGACGCAACACTTAGTTCCCAGTGCAAGAGTATCTGGGGAAGCCACTCTCTTTTCCACCAGATCAAAGCTAGTTCGTTGAACCTTGGAAAGCCTTCTAATGAAATAGCTACCACAAGTTAGGCTACAAAAGGGGTTCTCTACAGTGTATCCTCCCCACCCCCAAAAAAGGTGACACTGTGGTGGTTAGGACTCACCTCTCTTCTTTGTGTAACTGAGATACTCTACCCCTCATGAAATCCAGTTGCCTTTGGGTCTTTTGAAGCTGATTGAGGGTTTTTTGTAGCTGGACCTCAAGGGCCATGTTGGTTTGTTTGAGCTCCTGGGTTTGGGTACTGGCCACGTGCTGCTTTTCTCTAAGGCTGAGAAACTGTGTCTCAAGCTAATAAAGGAATATAGAAAGTGTTCAATGCAGTAAAAGAAAACTAGCAGTGTGGTGGTTACAGTGCTAGACTAGTACCTAGAAGAACAGGATTCAAACCCTCATCCCATCAAAGCTCATAGAGTCACAGGCTCTCAGTCTAACTTGCATTCATGGGGTTCTTCTTGTGAGGATAAAAATGGGGGAAGAACCTTGCAGGAAATGTGAGGTTGACATTTCATTTTATTTACTTTATTACATTTCTATCTTCTGCACTGGCTAGACCCTTCTGCAAGTAAAATGGTCAAGCCTCTTAGACATGAGGCTTGACATGGCCAACTTTTAACTTGAAGCTATGGAGATTCTCATCATGAAAAAGAAGACGTGTCTTGGCCTCAACTAGAGCCAGGGCTTTCTCGGCTGTGGCTCCAATCTGGTGGAACGCTCTGTCACAAGAGACTAGGGCCCTGCAGGACTTGACATCTTTCTGCAGGGCCTGCAAGACAGACCTTTGGTCAGAGCACAGCCTGACTCCCTCCTTTGGAAATCTTCACAGAACTATAGCCTAATGGTTGCCACCAATTTGAGTTGAATTAATTTTATAATGAAATGATTTTAGAATGTTGTACTATTTTATTGTTGTTAGCCGCCCTGAGCCCAGCTTTGGCTGGGGAGGGTGGGATATAAATAATTTGTATTATTATTATTATTATTATTATTAGGAAAAGAGGACGTATGGCAACCCTACATGTGGATGATGGTTTTGTTTTAGCCAGAGGAGATGCTTCCAGTAGATGGTGCTGTTTCCTCATGTCACATGGATAACCTTACCTCTTTTTGAACATCTAGGAAATGCTGTATTTCCCTTTCCCTGGCATCCAACAGTTCTTTCATCTCCACACTGAGGAATTGGCTTTGGGTTTTACTCTGCAATAAACAAAGGTGATGAAGCTATAGCTTTCCAGGGAACGTTCACAGCCTGTTTGCATTTGAGTCAAAGCACAAATAGAGCATGCAACAAAAAGTTGCAGCATGGTTTGCTCTTGTTCATGCTTCCAGACAACCGTATCCTTTTTCAGGATACTCCATTCCGTTTTCACACCATACCCCTGGTCAGCATTCTGTGCCCACTAGGCATGTCCAATCCCCACTGAGCTGTTTTGGGGTTCCCCCTGCCCTGAATTTTATTCTACATATTTTTTGTACTTATCCAAACTTTGGGATTCTCCTAAGTCTTCTGATATCTCCGTCTTCGGAGTGGATGCTAGTGGTTTTTCTACATAAAGATCCATATTTGGATAATGAGTTTGCTGTTAGTATCTAGATTCTATATATTATATTATAGAATAATGCAGGGGAGAGGGGAACAAAACCTACTCTGACTACAATATACATGCAATTTCTGCAGTCACAGATGGAACAAATAGCGTGACATTTTAGTGCCTTGTGTGAAGTGTTATATGGCTGGTTGGTTTTTTGAATTTCCCATTGTGCAATGACATCAAGCCAAACCTCACTGTGTATAGTCAAATGTTAATATTTTTTGCCCTTTTATAAGAAATCAGGAACTCTGAAGGCCCCTGGCATTATAAGTGTTATAATATCCTTTTTAAAAAAAAATCCTACAAGTGAAATTTTCATAACGGAGAATAGTCACCTTAAGAAAGCCAGCTACAAGCAAATATTAGATATATTTGGGGAGGGAGATGTTTGCCAAAGACCTGAGAGCACTGCTTTTTTCCAAGGGCTACACAGAGTACACAGTACGGGCACCTCTTTTTTTTTGTTGTTGTTGCTTAAAAGAGTGGCACTTACTGTAACAACTTCAAGGTGAGTCCCAGCACCTATTTTTCGGGGGGGGGGGAGCACTGCCTAAGAGTATCATCTTAGTTCCCCATGTATCCAAAGAACAATTCACGTCAACAAGGAGCCATGTCTTCAGTGCAGTGGGCGCAACTCAGTGGTGCCCACTCCCATAAGAAATCAGGCAGGCATCTATGAACTTTGTCCTAAACTGCCGGTGAATTTTCATGAGGGTTCTTTTTTTTAAGCACAGGTTGTTACAAAATGTGGCAAACTGAATATAAGGCTCAAAAAAATAATAATGAGAAAGTGTGAGAACTGGAATTGACAGGTCCTTCCACCCCTAATTGCAGGTGGTGCTGGCTATATTGGGATTGTTCTCTGCCTGCACAAGAGTTCTGAGAACATGCTTTCTAGAAAGAAAGACGATTACAGTACAGTCCTTTACACGTCTACTCAGAAACAAGCCCCATTCAGTTTGAGGGGGCTTACTTCCACATAGGATTGCAGCTTTATTCCTTCTCCATGTTTTGGATCAGAGTCCTTTTTCGCAGCTCTCTCTCCTGCTGACTGTCTTATGATGAGGCATCTGCCCCTGGGGTCATTGTGCAGCGCTAGAACAACACCATCATGTGTTGTTAACGAGGATTTAAATGGTGATTTAAATGGTGTGATCCACCCTGAGCTTTTGGGAGAGGGCAGGAACTTAAAAGGAAAACTCAGCACACCCCTTCTCATAAATCTGAGGAATTACACATGATCCAGTTATGCACCAACCTCAAGCTGCAGCCTCCTTGTCTCCTTGTCTATTTGCTGTTCCAACTCCTCATATAACTGCTGCACCTCCTTGTTGTGATCAGCCACTCGTCTAGGGCAGAGGAGCAAACAAGAAGGCTTTAAAGCAGAGCTGTTTAAAGGTGGCTAACATGGTTACCCTCCAAACGTTATGGGCTACAGCTCACATCAGCACCAGCCAGACTGGCCAACGTTCTTGGAGGATGGGAGTCAAAGCCCGCAATATCTGGACAGAACCACAGTGCCTACCCATGTGCCCCTTCATTTGCTGATCTCAACATGGCTCCATGTCAGGCCAGGACTGGAAAATTATGCTGTGATTATGATTCTTTAAAAGGAGATGACAGGAACTGAACCTGTGACCAGAGCCATACCTGGGCTCCCTTGGCAAGGAGATGTATCGGCACCTCCCGCCCAGCTCCAGAAAAAGATTGACATAATTCAATAATTACAAATGATTCTTAAACTGGGTGTTCAACAGCGCAATCCTCTAAATGTACACTCAAAAGTAAATCCTGCCAAGTTTAATGCGGCTTACTCCCAGGAAAGTGGGTACACATGATAGCAGCCTAAATCTGGCAAGCCAGAGGGCAGGACCTTCTAGCAATACCTTGCTTGCTTTGTTGTTACTTCTGACAAGGCGCCAGAAGAAAGGTTGCACCCAGTGCACACTCTACTCAGAAGTAAGCCACACTTAAGTCAATGGCCCTTGCTCTCTGGGGTAAACATGCAGGGGTGCATGCGCTGGTCAAGGTGGGAAAGAAACCAGGGAAAAGCGAATCAGCAGTGGTAAATTAAAAGCCTCGCCTGACGTTTCTCAGTCACCACATCTGCTGAAAGGCCGCTCTCAGGGCTAGCCAGGTGAGCAGAGGGCAGGGAACAGCAGCCACAGGGCCAAGTAGAGCTGCCCTCATGGGGAGCCCCACTGCACAAACTAACTGTCAACACTGATGGCTGACTGGGGAGGGCTGCTGCGAAGTGGCCAGATTCCCCACTGAGGCACCAAGGCGCAATTTTTGTGCCGCCCCCCAGCCTGTGCCTTTGGCTGGGACCAACTTAACTGTCCTCTAGGTCTGCCTGTGCCTTTCCACAACAGCCTTTCCCAACCTAGTACCCTTCAGATACAGTATGGTTCACTATAACAGGGGTCAGCAACCTTTTTCAGCAGTGGGCTGGTCCATCATCCCTCAGACCATGTGGTGGGATGGACTATATTTTGGGGGGGGGAAATATGAACGAATTCCTATGCCCCACAAATAACCCAGAGATGCATTTTAAATAAAAGCACACATTCTACTCATGTAAAAACACCAGGCAGGCCCCACAAATAACCCAGAGATGCATTTTAAATAAAAGGGCACATTCTCCTCATGTAAATACATACTGATTCCCGGACCGTCCGTGGGCCGGACTGAGAAGACAATTGGGCCACATCCGGCCCACGGACCTTAGTTTGCCTACCCCTGCACTATAACATCCATCAGACCCATCCAGCGAGGCTTTGCTGGCTGATGGGAGCTACACTGCAAAACACCTGAAGAGTACCAGGTTGGGGAACACTTTTCTGAAGGAAAGCCACAGCCTCTTCTGTTGAGCTATGTATGCCCCCCTATTCTCTCTACAAATGCAAACACTCCAACCTTTTCTACCCTTTGGGTTCCAAATTTCATTTTCCTGGAGTCTTTCTACCTATTCCGGAAAGCTGCATTTACAAAAGCAGTTTCCACGCTTCACTTGTACAACCAGTGACCTACGTTTTCAGCATTAACTGCAGTGTCTGTTTTGCGCCCCTTGATTCTTTGATCAAGTGTGTCATTTTAGCCAAGAATTCTTTCAGGTTTCCCAGCAGATGTGGTTCATCCTGTCGGAGCTGCACCCAAATCTTCCAGATTTCTGACTCGCTGCAAGAGAGAAGATTGTCTCATTTTCCGGCGAATATTCTATTGACCCACCTGAATCCTCAGGGGACCTCTCAATCGGGACAGCCTGTCTCAACTGTTCTTAGGATCTGAGAGCAGTTTTGTTTCTTCCTAAGAACAAGCATGTGGATCAATAAGGCAACGGGGCTGTAAAGTAGCTATTGCGAAAGCTGAAATACCTCTTATCGCCATGCGTGTCACTTTGAAAATAACTAGTTAGTAGATAAAATAGGAAAGTGTCTAGGCCATATTAACTATTACTGTTGCCTTTTTGTGAGTGTACCTACTGGTATCAAGTACCATCACCTCTTTTTTTAGCTGCCCATGGCAGCCATTTTGTACTTGTACCCACAGCACTTTTATCACAGCACTTGAGGTAGTTGCCTCCCTTTACCCAATGGTAGGACTAATCCCAGCTTTCAAGCCCCAAGAGCTACTTTCTTAACTCAGGGTGTTGAAACATGATCTTCAAGATCCAGAGCATCTTCCTACAGACTTTCCACTTCCACAACCCATATAGTAACTCAAGCTTAAGTGCAGAATTCAACACCAAAACTTTTTCACCTATTCCCTATTCCTCCTCTGCCTGGATCCTGTGTTGTGAGATTCAGTATAAAACTAGCATAAGGTTTGCATGCACTTACTCTTCAAAGATGTTATCAGCTCCCAGTTGGTTTAGGAAGGCCTTAAAGCACATTTGCTCCTCTGTATCAGCTTCCTCCAGAGACAGGTGGGTAGGAGCCTTTAGGGAAAGCATCTTTCTCTTCCGGTGCGCTCTTGTCACCGTCTGTGAGCTCAGAAAATACCCTGCCACATAGACAATGAAAATCACACCTCTGGACAGACATGGTGCAATACAGAACAGTTTCAAAGCAGTATTTGGCCCCTAGGACCAAATAAATACCTACGACGAGACTTGCTGAACCTGAGCAACTGCCACAAGCACTCTGCTGATCCTCGTGTTGATTTAGACAGACCGTCAGAATCAAGAGGCTTCCAGACAGGGGCTTAATATTGTGGACAGGTCATTGTCAGGCAACAGTGGGCGTTTTCCTTTTCCTGGTTGGATTGTTTTACCCGGAAAGGGTAAATCTGGATTAAATAGGCGACGGAGGCAGCAGATACAGGCTGGTAGTTTTTACGCCTCCCACAAGGGAGGTGCAGAGGTTGGCAACACAAGAACCGGCCTTCTCTGTGGTGGCTCCTGTTTGTGGATGCTCTCCCCAGGAAGGCATGCTTGATGCCATCTGTTATGTACTGACGTTCTCACCCTGGGCCAGCAGGGGGATACTGTAGATAGTTCAGGTCCACATATGCAAATAAGGGATCAAAACTGACGTTCAGTGATTGGATAGTTACAGAAAATGGTTACTGTTGCGTTCTAGTGGAGCTCTATATAAGCAGGCTGGCTGAACCCTTCAGTTCAGTTCTGTTCTGGCCTGTGAATAAACAAGAGCTGTTTGAAGAATCGCTGTGTCGTCTGATATGTTCACCCACAACCTAACACCATCCCTATCTGTTTTTGGACACCAGATATTGTCACTGACCCACGCTTTTTGGACGTTAATCTTCTGCTTATCTTTTGAGTGGGTTGGGTTGAGTTGGATTCGCTCTTTTATCAGTGAGCATTTTAGGTTGTTTTATTTTCCATGTTTGTTTCTGAAACTCGCTTTGAATCACTTTTGCTAACAGAGTGACCACTACTGATAAAACAATAATAATAATGTGGATGCTGCTGCAACACTTTGCAAGCATGAGAAGCAACCATCCTCAGTCGGGGTGGCACAGCAACCATTGTTCCAAACTTCTGCACTTCCCTTCAAATGGGGGCTTCCTGCCAAGTACGGTGTGCATAGGATTGCAGACAAACATTGCACATTATCAACCCCATCAGTCTAACGTAAACACACTAAAGCAATGCATACTAAGCCCCTCAGTGAACTCTTCTGTGGTTAAGTAGCCCTTGCTGTCAGCATCCAGGCCATCAAACACAAGCTCCAGCTCTTTGGTGCTCCAAGGAAAGTCTGCCTCCAATTTCTGAAAACAATACAAATGTGAAGTTAAGGTCCTGATATCAATTCCTTTGTTCTCAGACAGCTAGTAAACAGTTTGGTCTGCCAAAAAGGTGTCCTCAGCGTCACTGCGGGGTCAGAAATGATTGGTGGTCCTGTTTTTATATAAAATAACCAGCTGTATAAAACTGTGCTTGCTGTGTCTATTTCCCTGCTGGAGAACCTATCAAGTGTTATGCTAAAGAATGAATGAATCAATCAATCAATCAATCAATCAATCAATAAAGTTTGCAGTCCATTAACCTGGTCTTTTTAAGTTGAATCTCTTCCTTTGTCTATTTGTTAGGGACTCGTTAATTACCTCTTATCAGCTCTTGCTTGGAATGTGTTAAGGAGGCATTTTATTGCTCAAGGCCTGTAGATAGCCAAGAGGCGCCTAAGAGTGAAAGATTGACAATCCAAGATAACAAAAAGAAATAGCAGGTGCTACTTTGGGGACTCTGCACATGTTCTGGAGCCTAGTAGGATCTCATGAATATTAGAAGACAAACCCAGGGCGGGGCTAAGGCTAATCTAAATGCACATGTGATGTGTGTGCTCCCCTCCTTCAGATGCCAAGGAATAAGACGTGAAATGGGCATTCTGGAAAATCTAGAAGCTGTAAGTCTTAACCAATCAGAAAGCAGATGGAAGAAAGGAGGAGGGAGAAAGGGGGAGAGAGGGAAAAATCAATGTTTTAAAAGCCTGGCGCAAGAGTCCTCGTGGCCGGCATTTTCCTTCCCTTTCTTTGGAGATGTTTGTGCGCTTTATTCAATTGAATAAACAAAAGTATATTGGATCTCCTGTCTACAGGCTCTTATTGGAATAGCAGTGCCTGGGACAATAAAAAGGTCTGATTAGCAGACCCAACATCATAACATCGAGTAGAAAAGAGTTGTAGAGTTTCATTCTACATGCAGGGTCATAGACACCTAAATAATGTTAAGATGATAATTATTTGTTTTATGGTCACACAGAATGATCCATGATAAGGCAAAGTTGAGATCAGGGTTTTTGCCAGGCCTTTTCTCATCCATCATTAAGGTATTCTTCCTCCACTGTCAAGAGGCAGCATGTCTGAAACTTCCAGCAAGAAAACTGAAGCATCTGCCCCTCAAAAGCACATGACGTACATGCACCACCAATTTACCTGCATATCAGCTCGTGTGATGAAACCTTCCTTTTTTCCATGTCCCTGGGAGAGGTTCCGAACCTTTTCCATGAGTTCAGAAAGGCATGGCTCTTCCTCTGAGATCGAAGATACCCGTGTGCTTCCCCAGGTCCCTCTTGCTTGCTTCCGGCGGCTCGACCCAAACTTTCTGCCAGGCATCCTCTGCTTATCCATGGCCCTCCCAGAGATTTACATTCAGTTCTTTGGAAAGAGGAAGGGAAGGGAGCGGGGGCATCATCCTTTTTCATATCCTCCGTTGCCTCATAATTTGGCACGCTAGAGACACACGGCACTTTATGACGTGTGATGCAAAAAGGTTCTCCTCCTAGTTATCTTGAACCGTGAAGGCTGGTGGTTGTGCCAGCTGTAAAGCAGTGATGCATTTGCCTGCTCATGGATCTGCATGCCTACACTAAACCCACTTTGCAAGCAAGCAGCAGGAGCTGCTGAGGTTGGGAGCAGAACGCATGAAGTATATGCACTATTGCCCCAGGTGAGTTACAAAGCAGAAAATTTCCCTGGTCAGTTAAGATTGCCCAGGTTCTGCCTACCTAGGATGGACATCAGCTCTCCCTGACTTTATTATATATTTAGGTAAGCTTTTTATGGCACATGGAAGGCCTAAAAGAAAAGAAAAATAACTCCCAGATATGGAGGGGCTGTGACGGACGCGGGTGGCGCTGTGGGTTAAACCACAGAGCCTAGGACTTGCCAATCAGAAGGTTGGCGGTTTGAATCCCCGCGATGGGGTGAGCTCCCATTGCTCGGTCCCTGCTCCTGCCAACCTAGCAGTTCAAAAGCACGTCAAAGTGCTAGTAGATAAATAGGTACCGCTCCGGCGGGAAGGTAAACGGCGGTTCCATGCGCTGCTCTGGTTTGCCAGAAACGGCTTAGTCATGCTGGCCACATAACCCGGCAGCTGTCTGCGGACAAACGCCGGTTCCCTCAGCCAATAAAGCGAGATGAGTCGGTCATGACTGGACCTAATGGTCAGGGGTCCCTTTACCTTTTTTATGGAGGGGCTGTAGCTCTTAACTTTGCATGCAGAAGGTCAAAGGTCAAATTAAAAGCAGGAAAGATCTCTCATTGAGGCAGACCAGCTACTGTTACTGCCAGTCAGAGAATACAATGCATAAACAGACCACATGTTAGTGAGCTTATTACGGTAATTTATAAATATTTCCCAGGCTGTTTGCACTTGGGGAGTAATTATTTGCGACAGGCAAGTGGGTTTTTTTACAAGCATCCGCTAATCCTGGCTCCCCCTTTGCACTGTATCCAAAGAGACCTCTTCTGCCATTTCCTTCGTTGTTCTAAATCAAAAGTATCCAACATGGTTTCCTCAAGATGCTGTGGATGGCAACCCCCATCACCCCTGACCATTGGCCATGTTGGCTAGGGATGATGGGGACTGTAGTCCAAAATATCAGGAGGACACTACATTAGCCACCATTGGGCTAAACATACTTTGGCTCCCAGCTTGCCAGTGGATATCAACATGATCCAGTGCACGCGCCAACATTGCAATCTTAACTTCTGCACCAAGAATTCTTATCTAGATCAGGAAAGGAAGTGACAGGATATACCTGGTGACAGCTGCCACATATGTTGTGCTACGTCTCTAGTTTATGGCTGTTTTGGACTTGCATTCACTCCAATCCTCCCTGTTTGGCAAGGATGGGCGCTACTTGTTTTCAAGTTAAAATGTGGTTAGCCTGAGTTACTGATGTCATCGTGCTTTAGGGCTCAGCTCCCAACCCCAGCTCTCTAGAAGCAGAATATCTGAGTCAGAAATGGATGCACATTGTCTCCAATGCACACAAAGGTACATCTATGTGCACGCATTCTGAGGCACCACAGAGCACAAAACCTGCCATTTCACATGCAACGGCTACTGAGGTTTGTGGATAACATACCATTTATGAAACAATTGTGGTTTTTTTGAAACCAGAAACAATTGTTTTCTGAAACAATTATATTTTTCTGAAACCAAAACAGTAAACACACTGCTGGCTCTTAAGTGCATGGAGGACAGATTATTGCTGGGCAAATGAACACACAGAAGGTGAACAGTCTTCACTCATATAAAACAGAGGAGACAGTGGTGTTCACCAAATGATCCTTGATTGGAGAATAGAGATTATTCAAGCATACCCCTATTCTCATCATCCGTGAAACCTTGCAAGGTTTTGTGATCCCTTGGGCTTCAAGCAACACCTTTTTAATAGGCCAGTGGTAGATTAGCATAATAAACTTTAAAATCGAGAAAGTTCAGCAGTCAAGAAAAGTCGTGTGAAACTCAAAAGCTTGTTACAATATTGGCCCCAGTGCTTTTTTTCTGGGGGGACGCAGGGGTACGCATACCCCTAAACATTTTGTGAATCTAAGTTTGGCCTTATTGAGGGGCAGTATTTCAATATGCATGGGAAAATGACAGTACGCCTAAACATTCCTTTAGAAAAAAAAGAGCACTGATTGTCCCCGTTTTTAAAAGTTATTATCTGAATCATTTTAAAATTCAGGGCTCAGCAAACTTTTTCAGCAGGGGGCCGGTCCACTGTCCCACAGACCTTGTGGGGGGCCGGACTATATTTTTTTGGGGTGGGGGGATGAACGAATTCCTATGCCCCACAAATAAACAGAGATGCATTTTAAATAAAAGCATACATCCTACTCATGTAAAAATACGTTTGGACCGTCTGTGGGCCGGATTTAGAAGGCAATTGGGCCGGATCCGGCCCATGGGCCTTAGTTTGCCTACCCATGTTTTAGATCTTAATCCAGGGGTCGGCAACTTAAGGCTCATGGGCCGCAAGCGGCCCATGGGGGTCATTTAACTGGCCTATGGACTCCCGCCGCCTGCTCAGGGACCCCCACTGCCCATTAACCTTTAAAGCCCTATACGGCCTAGGACCCTCGTACCTACGGGACCGCCTCTCCTGGTATGTCCCACAGAAGAACTTACGGTCTGCAAATAAAAACATCCTGAAGATCCCAGGCCACAGAGAGGTTAGGCTGGCCTCAACTAGAGCCAGGGCTTTCTCGGCCGCTCCAATCTGGTGGAACGCTCTGTCACAAGAGACTAGGGCCCTGCAGGACTTGACATCTTTCTGCAGGGCCTGCAAGACAGAGCTGTTCCACCAGGCCTTTGGTCAGGGCGCAGCCTGACTCCCTCCTCTGGCAATCTGCACAGAATTTTGCTTAATGGTTGCCATCAATTTGATTTTAATTAATTTTTATAATGAAAGGTTTTTAGAATGTTGGATTATTTTGATTGTTGTTAGCCGCCCTGAGCCCAGCTTCGGCTGGGGAGGGCGGGGTATAAATAAAATTTATTATTATTATTATTATTATTCGGTCGATTCCCATGCACCGTGTTAAACCGGCGAGGAGCAGAGCAGGGACCGCCTTCCGTGATGCTGGCCAGCTTCCCATTGGCTGCAGGAAGCTCCTGCAGCCAATGGGAAGCTGAGCACGCCTCCTCCACGCCAGTAGAAGCACTGGAAATAGCATATGCGCATGCATGTGCGCACACACACACTCTGGCCCACTGCAGCGTCTACAGGACCGTGAACCGGCCCAAGCCATAAAAACTTTGCTGCCCCCTGTCTTAATCAGCCTTCCTTTGAAACCATCATGCTAACTGCACTTGTATCTTATTATAGAAATTATGGTACAGGAGCCCACAACTTTCTAGCATTTGTAATTAGACATGTTCGCAGAAAGAAGAAGTACTTACTCTCAAAGAGGATCGAGAACTGCTTGCCTATATCGCTGGCGGTGAGTCAATAGAATTTCCCAGGCTGAACAGTGCAGTGGAGACCAGGCAGACTTGGCAACACACAGCAACAAAAGTTGGTCAACTAGTTTCAACTGGAGCCTTTTCAGGGTATGTGAAACTGAATGTGGAAGTCCAACTCCCAAATGATAACTATGATCTAGAGTGCGCTGTCTGAAGTGTCTTGCAATTTTTAAAAACCATTTCCTCTTTTTCTGCCACTTTATGGGGGAGGTTAGACTTGTATGGTTAGACTCAGCGGTGGAGCAAGCGGATCGGGCGCATGGGGTGGTGCCGCCCGGCATTTTGTCACCCCCCTCAGTGGTGACACCCAGGTAGACCCACCCCTACCGCACGCCCCTTCCTCCGCCCCTGGTTTGACTTGAATTAACTTTTGAATGAATGGCTTAATATGAGCATAACTCTGATATTATTAGTATTGGATATTGTTCACTGACCGGTTGGTATGTTTTATGCTCCTTTAAATGAACTGCAGTTGTTGAATTGGTAATTGCAATATATTATAATTATAGTGACTGTATTTAAATTGTCCATCCTATAAACCACTTTGGACACAAAGTTTCAGGGGAAATACAATATACAAATAAATAGTACTTCTGTGGGTTTTCTGGATGACCAAAACTAAGGCCAGGTCCCTCCAAAAAGCAGCTCATGGTTCAAAGTTGACACATGATATAACTAAATGTTGAGTTGGAAGTTTATTCCACAAGGGTCATTATATAGTTTCCAGTTGCAGGATAGTTTCATGCTTTTGATTGTATATGTTTGGTGACTTCATTGGGCTTTTGCAGCTAGGGTTGCCAGATGTCATGTACAGTATATGAAATAAGAACTTTTCTTGGTAAATTTGTACATGTGTTCTTAATAATATAGCCCAAGAGCCTGCCCAACCTATTATTCAAGCAGGACATTAATCTTCACAACACCCTTACATAAGACTAAGGTTCCATTAGCAATAGGCATGGATAGATGATGCAACTGGTACGAACTCAGAAAGCTTTTTTTAAAGTCAAGGCAACTCAAGCCCCGCTAGTGCTCCATATCCATGCAACCTCATAATTGGTTGGTTCTCCTTGGTGGGTTCTAAATCTGCAGTTGACCAACAGAGAGCCTGCAGTAAAGCTTTGGCAAACTACAAAAAGTCAGCTTACATTAGAGACAATGGTTGTGCAAACCATCAGTATGGATTCACACAGCCAGCGCATGTGGTGATTTTCCAGAAACTTAACACCTTTAAATAAGTTCCCACATTTTGCTTGTGCTGCTGGCAAAGGATGAAATTTCAGTTGATTTGGACTGTCATGACAGTCAACTAAGTCTGGCAAAAAGCAGCTCTTTGAGTCTGCTCTACAGTATATGCATTTACATGCCTACTCAGAAGTAATCACACAGTTAAGAGGGTGCAGGATTGTAGCATAAGTGTGATTGAGTAATCTGCTGTAAGAGGTGCTGTTTGCATTTTTTAAAATGTCAAAAGTGGAAAACAATTTACATCACTCTTCAGGGTTGTTGTTGTTTTGTTTACAATACAAAAAAAAAAAGGTGCTGGAGAGTCATACTACAGTGTACAGTCCTGGTGTTGCTTGCAAGGGCCCAGGCAACGATGCGTAAGATATTTTCAAAAGGAACCTGGATTTTGATTCAAACTCACTGTATGGGCAAATCTATACCATACATTTAAAGCACATGACTTTCACCCAATAATCCTAGGTGGTATGTAAATCACTCTGGAAGCCTTTTCAGTTGACAAGCAGGGTTTCTCAAACTTGGGTCTCTGGATGTTTTTTGGACCACAACTCCCATCATCCCTAGCTAGCAGAACCAATGATCAGGGATGATGGGAACTGTAGTCCAAAAAGAGCTGAAGACCCAAGTTTGAGAAACCCTGCTGTAAATAAATAAAAACAAATAAGGGAATTGTAGGTCTATGGCTCCAGCTACCAGGAATGTTTGGGGTAAGTCATACGCACTAAATGTGTGCTGAATGTGCTTTAAATGTATGGCGTGAATCAGTCACTAGGGCTGTCAATTCTCCCTTCCCCTTTCTTTCTTTCTTTCTTTGTTGTACTTATATTCCATGCTTCCTCCAAGGAGCTCCTGGTGGCTTGCATTTGTCTTTTTGTGCACCATTTTATTCTCACAATCCTGCAAAGTAGGTTAGGCTGAGAGATGGCGACTAGCCCAAGGCCACCCAAGCAAAAGCTTCTTAGCTGAGATGAGCCTGGGTCTCATCCTACTCTGCCACACCAACACAGGTGCAGGGACCCCAAATTGCATAAGTCCTAGCCAGCATGGCCAATAGTCACAGGTATTGGGAGGTGTTGTCCAACAACATCTGGAGGACCACAGGCTTCCCATCCTCACTCCAACCACTATTCCACCCCACTGACTTTTAATCAGGGGATCTGTGCTTTTAACAGCTGCACAGCAGGCAGAAATTCAGCACATGGAAATGCAATACCAAAGGAAAACTGTGTTTGCTGAATTGCTGCTTGTTAGAGGCTTCTTAGGGATGCAGGTGGAGCTGTGGGTTAAACCACAGAGCCTAGGACTTGCCGATCGGTTCGAATCCCCGCGACGGGGTGAGCTCCTATTGCTCGGTCCCTGCTTCTGCCAACCTAGCTGTTCGAAAGCACGTCAAAGTGCAAGTAGATAAATAGGTACCACTCTGGCGGGAAGGTAAACGGCGTTTCCGTGCGCTGCTCTGGTTCGCTAGAAGTGGCTTAGTCATGCTGGCCACATGACCCGGAAGCTGTATGCCGGCTCCCTCGGCCAATAAAGTGAGATGAGCGCCACAACCCCAGAGTTGGTCACGACTGGACCTAATGGTCAGGGGTCCCTTTACCTTTACCTTTAGAGGCTTCTTTGTGGAAGCTCCTAGCACTCAGTATTTCCACCATTAAAATAAAATCTAACTCCAAAATAAAGAAAAGCCTTTTTGTTTGTTCTTGAACTAATACGTCGACTCACAATGTCACTCCCTAAAACATGAGCCAGACCATAAAAAGCACTTACCATTCACCAGCATCTACAGGGTTCTCACTCGCTGCAAAGAGCAGGACACCTCCTCTTAAATGAGACGGTTCCTTTATTTTGCAGGCGGAAGTTGGCACAACCACAGAGGAGGGAGAAGGTGGCCGATTTCACCAGCATAACTGAGACATTTGTGTTGTCACTTTCCTTCTTGCTCAACCCATCTTTCTGTTGTGGGCTCAGCCAGAACAGCATGCTACAGCCACTCACGTTATTTTAACTGTTTGTCCTACAGATCTCTGGGAAAGGCATTGGTTGCCTTGGGACATTTAATGCAAGATTAAAATTGGCTGCACAAAACACAGTTGGTTTTCACTTTTACTTGGGAGAAGCCATATTTCCGGGAATATAAAGCATCAGCAAATGTTTTGCTGTTGAATGGGAGACCAATAGTACGGCCTACATTGAGCCATTTCACAAATGTGGAACAAGCTCAAAGGTCAGCCTGCAGTAAAAATTGTTTATGGAACGGTTTGCAAATAGAAATGTGATTGTGTTAGCAAGATTATTGTGGCTACCTAGAATACAAACCAGCAGCAAAGGGTTTTTTGGTCTTCAGCCTAGGTTAGTCAGAGGCGACTATAAAAAGCCACTGCCATTCCATTAAGCAAGTATGTAAATATATCTAGCTACTTAATTACCCACTTTCTTTTCTGCCAAATTCTGCTGAGATTATCTGTATATTGATTAGCCATTGTTAACTGGCTTTTTTAAACAAACAAATAGTTGTCTGTATTCCAAGTAACATCCTACAAAGGAAGAGGATCTGCTATGTATTTTCAGGATCACATTTCTAAGAACAGTTGCCTCTTTTCTGAACCCAACCCCACATTCATGGGGAGCAGCACTTCACAGTACAGAAACTACAAGATTATCGTAGTTTATATTTCATCCTGTGTAAGTGTACTGCCAGTGTACTGCCAAAAACACATTGTTTTGTTTATCCAATACAATTGCTCTTTTGTGTGTGCAAAGTGCTTCTTAGATATGTCTTTGAATATTTGGAAATATCAACTCACAGCTGCTTTTTAATCACTTGAAGGACATATGAATAAAAACCAATTACCGGTAATAGTGGTGTGCTGCCACCGCAAAATTTGGTCTTTTATTTGTAGTGTTTGGAAGCAACCCAGTCTCTTTTGGATCTGTACTGTATCATTCCAATTTGTAATTCAGGTCCAATTCTGAACTGTTAAATCCAAAGCTTTTTCACTCTTTTTGAATATAAAAACAACTACAGTGGTACCTCAGGTTACATACGCTTCAGGTTACAGACTCCGCTAACCCAGAAATAGTACCTCGGGTTAAGAACTTTGCTTCAGGATGAGAACAGAGAGGCCCCATTAGCTAAAGTGGTGCTTCAGGTTAAGAACAGTTTCAGGTTAAGAACGGACCTCCGGAACAAATTAAGTACTTAACCCAAGGTTTTAACTTAACCTTTTCCCCTTTTCACCTAAGTGAATGAAATTTTCAGGCAAAAGAGGCCTTCCAGAGTAAATTAAGACTGCCCAGAATGGGATGCAAATAGCAGCCATGGTGACCCTTCCTAAGAGGATACATTCTGCCAAATTTCAGAAAGATTGGTAGGGGAGAGCCACTGTACCTCTTAGCACTCTTATTACCCACATCCAGCCAGGCAGGTGATTTCAGATGTGTAGTATTGGAAATAATTTCTGCATCTATAAAATTGTATGGGCTTTTCTCTAAACTCACTCCTTTCTTTACTCTCCACCTTCTGTTCTGGGTTTCCTTAAGGCTCCCATTTTTAAGCCTGCTGCCTATTCAGAGCCTGCCCATCAAACACTTTTACCATTGTATCTGACTCTTGGTCTTTTAGTTTCCTATAAGCTCTAGGATCTGTTTTAACTTCCTTATCTTTTTGCCCTTACATTAAGTTCTTAGGCCTATTGTGGCATTCACCACCAAAACTTTCACTTTCATGAACTTAAAATATTTTTGCAAACATGGTTTTCGGTCTTTGAAATTAGAATGCCTGTGGATATTCTACAAGGCACTGCAACAATCCAACCAATAGAGAGCAAATACTATTACCATGATGCTTCAGCATGCAAGAGATTAGTAATCTAAGGATGGAAAGAAGAAACTGACTGACAGCTGGCATAGTAATACCACTAAGTTCTCCAGCTCATATTTGATAGACGATGCATGGATTAACAGTCACGGCATGCATTCGGCAATCAAATTTGACCTCTGCCACCTATGGCATCCTCTGCAGTGTTTCCTGATGGTGGTATGGCAGCCCTTTGCCATGGTTTTGTCCCACTTTGCCTTACACAACTAGTAGGAGGAATAGTGTCTTTCCATTTGTCTATTATCTCCATTAAAAAAACTAACCAACCCCCAAGGAAAGAGCCCTCACCAGCCAGAAAATTCAAGCTTGATCAATCCCACATGCAATTAAATCAGACAAAAGTGTTGCTCCATTATGAAACAGCTTTTATTTTAAGGTCTATACTTAAGTCAGTTCAGCAGCATTATATTCACAAACAAATGGATTAGTGCCGAGAGTCCTAGCATTACGCATTACCCTGAATGTAGAAGTGCAGTGGTCCGAAGTGGCCAGGCCTGTCCATGGCAACTCTAGAAAGGTCAGAAATCCACAGGCAAACATACTATCTTAAGGAAGTGCCTGAAGCTGTGCTTCTGGGTAAGATAGGTCTTCTTCCAACATCTTGCTCACAAGCCACAGTTGTTGTTTGTAACTAGTCTAATACAGTATGGCTGATAGTACTCCCAATTTCAGCTGCTACATTTTCCCCCCCTCTCCATCCCAGGCCTATAACAACAAACAACCCACTAGGCCAAGTGCTTGACATCTCCCCACACCCAACTTTTTCTTGGAGGAAAAAAGATGAAGGTGCCGAACAAAGCATGAATATCCTCCTGCGTTGTCTGTCAAAGGCAAAATTGTGCCCGTCAGTAATGTGCTAGCATTAATCCTTTCTCACGGCTGTAGGGATTTCCCCACCGCTCTTGCAAAGCAGATGCAGTTAAATGGGACACACCCTTCGTTTAACTAAAATGCGATCCTCAGGAGGTCCAAGTGTTCCAACCCAGCTCCAGCCTCTGGAATAAAGCAATAGCTCCCAAAAAGCACACCGCGATGAAAGATTCAAGATTTCAGCAGCGGGTGCTATTCCAGCAGCACAGCAGTAAAGAACCCATTGCAAAGGGGTAGAACAATAAAGGCAAAGTTAGATTTGACTTGGAACATAGTGATGATTCACATGAAAGGCTGATTTGACTTGCACATGGCAAAAGGCTACATTTCAGATTCCAGTGTTAAACACTGCACCCAATATTAACAGGTGGTGCTTTTGACAATAAGATGCCAGTAAGACCGAAATATCAGTCCCAAATTCAGACAGGAACAGATGTGAGTTTAATTTTCTTGCACCAAGTAGATGTGCTTAAGCTTTAAGCAATTTACTTTCCAATTTTAAAAGGGTAAAGGAAAGCTGGCAAGATCACAGGTAGCTGCAGAAAGCATGGAAAGCAAACACAAGGTAAATCCTTTATCATTATTTCATACTAGAGAGAGATGTCACAAGTGAACCATGTTTCCAGAGGCAATGGAAACTCCATGGGCATGTCTTATCAAGCCTCGCTAGCACTCACTGGGAACCCAAATCCCACAATATTCTCACCAATTAGTACCATACCAAAGGCTGTATGCTGTCGAAGGATGGATGAGTCGCTATGCTGGCAATATGTGCCTACAGGCTGCATGGCAGAAGTAGAGTAATATTTCTGAGCTCAAACTTCTGGTTCCCACTGGCTACATTTCCCCCCTAAGGCTAGTGTTATTTGCATGACTTGAGTCAACAGTATTATTCGATTGTTTTAGGAAGGGGAAGGAAGTTACAGTGCTCACACACTATCCAGTATTGTCTGATAATGGAATCCTTCCTGCAACAGTAATGGTACTGTTTTGTGATACTACTGCCCACAATAGGAAGATCTTCATCTTTGTAAAATGAACGGATTAGCTTTCTGGATTGGAAGTCTTTTTTCTTCCCCCCTCACCATATTCCTTTAAACCTAGCAGGACAAAAAACAACAGAGAGAGAGAGAGAGCAAGATCACAGACCTAGGAAAATACAATCCTTCAGACCTTGCACCTGCAAAGTGACTCATACCTGAGACAGGTGTGTGAAAGCTCTCAGCCATAAGCAGTACTTGCACTGATCCTTCCCTCTTGCCATCATGCTTAAGCATCTCCCCCAGCAACTTAAGTCTATTTTAGGATAAGGCTTTACAATATATTCCATTGCACATAAAGCTCCAGTGCCATCATAAATAAGGAAAATAACTCTACATCCTTCTGAAGTGTTACACTAGTCCGCTACATAGTTTTTATGTAAAGTAAGAGCCTCAGAGCAGAAGTCATTACTCTAACTAGCTGCTCCTTCAAACAGTCAAGTCTGCTGCCTGCACTGAGTGTCGTGTCCAAGTCGGCCATTCCAGCTAATAGCGGTGAAGGCAGGTCAGCTCCTTTAGCCCAGAGACTGCGTGGATGCATTTTGCTTGCAGTGTAGTTATCATGGGTCTGACTTGCAGGGGACAGTTCTCCGCTTGGAGCTGTAGAAGTCTGGAAAAGAGCAGAAGGACAAATTGAACATGCCAGCCAAGGGAGTGTCAGTGTGAGTGCCTGGGAGATATTCATTCATGCCCAAGAGCAGTCTGCTCAGAGACTGCAAGGCAATCACCAGCCAAGATCCTGGAGTTCCCAACACAACCGTAACTGCGCAATTCTATGAATGTTTACCCAGAAGTTCCATGGTATTCAAGTGAGCTTACTTCAAGGTCCCACAACTTGAGAGTCATGTACATGAAGGAGTGCCTTGCAAGCCCATGGTTTAAGACAGGCTTCCTCAACCTCGGCCCTCCAGATGCTTTTGTCCTACAACTCCCATGATCCCTAGCTAGCAGGACCAGTGGGTCAGGGATGATGGGAATTGTAGTCTCAAAACATCTGGAGGGCCGAGGTTGAGGAAGCCTGGTTTAAGATTTGCAGGACAGACTGTGCTGGTTATCTTGTCAACAGTGGTGCTTTGTTTGGTTGGTGCAACGCTCTCAATCATGGCAGCTTAGCTGTGGAATTCCCTCCTAGCAGATATTTGTCCTGTTATTGGTTTTTCACTTGTCAGCTGAAGACCATCAATATGACTACAGGTTGCATTCTGCTGGATTCTTTGCTACTGAAGTTTCAAGGAATAGTTACTAAATGTGACTATTTGGTTTAAACTTCTATAGCTATGTGGTCAATTTTATTTTAAATGTTCGACCGCATCCTGGGAACCTTCAGGATGAAGGGTTGGTTTAAAATATAGTATTTAATTTGGGGGGGGGGGGCGTATAAGAAAACTTCCTCTTAAACTGATGACAAGACAATCAAAATTCCCAATATGAAATTCCAATTTTGAGCTCAGGTTCAGAATTCAACTGGTGAATTTGAAACAAATGCAATTTCACAGAAGTGAAATCCACGTCCAGGGCAGCTTTGGCCATTACCGGTAATTCTACCCTCCTCTCTGCAAATGTAAACACAGAAGACAAACAAAGCTGGCAGCTCCTTACCTTTGATAGTTGTCTGCTTTCGCTTGGAAGACTTGCGAGCCTCAAAGCCCACTTGCGTTGGCCTGTCTGTCTTTGTGTGCATCTTGAGAAGCACTGGGGAGGAGCTCAAGCTCTTTTCACCGGCACAACTGTTTTCCTTTGTGGGGCTCAGCAGATCTTGAGAAGGCAACCTGTTTAGATGAGAGACCTTTTCCCATTTATAGTCCCCTTCAAGTGGAGTTTCTGATTCAAAGTCAAAGTTCCACTTCTGCTGAGCCTCCTCCAGCTGGGCCTTCATCAAGGACTGGAAGTCCTTTTGAAGCTGGTCATGATCGACTGGTCCAAAGAGGTTTCTGCAAAGCTTCCTGCTGCAGGGAGACCGAAGGAGGTTGCCCTTAGACAGAGGCATGTTTCCAGCTAGGAGAAATACAAGCAACATGTTTTAAGGAAAGTTACAGGCCACCTATAACAGTTATAAGTTAACAATAAAACTTATAAATCAATTCAGCAAGTAAAATAAATTGATTTATTTTTTTTAAATGCCATGGCAAAGCTAATTTTACTAGGTCAAAAGCTTGGCAAAAATATCAGCATTGACAGCACAATGAAAGGCCTTCAAGGTGGAAGCAAGACCAGCCTCCAGGGGAGGAAATGTTGTAGCTTGGTTCCAATACAGAAGAGACCCTGTCCCAAGTCACTGACCAACCACACCTCCTAATGGCAGCAAGACCAGCAGCAAGGCCTAATCAAAAGAACTCAACAGCATAATGTTTATATATTGTTAACAGTTAATTGTTATTAATTTTTAGTGTTATGTTTCAGCAAGTATATGTCTTATTATGTACTGTTACTGTGTTACTATATTTTCCATAAACTGCTTCGAGCGCAGATTTACTTGTGAAAAATGCAGTACATATAGAAAAGGACCACGGCAATTTTTAATGAAGTGAGAATCGAGCGGACTGAGTGAAATGGTGCATGTGCGATTGTGTATGTGGTGGTTGAGTGCTTAGAATAGTTCCTGTTAGAGTGAATGTATAGGTGACTGTTATTGTTGGCATCAGAGTTGTCTTGAGAGACAATAAAGTACACCTCCAGGGCTGAAGCCATGACACTATCAAGCTTTTTTGGTTAACAGTTAGGAATTTTTAACTGTTAATTAGGCATTCTTAGTCACTTTACTTATGTACATTGTTTAGATATATATTTGGTGGTGGTTGTTGTTTAGTCGTTTAGTCGTGTCCGACTCTTCGTGACCCCATGGACCAGAGCACGCAAGGCACTCCTGTCTTCCACTGCCTCCCGCAATTTGGTCAAACTCATGCTGGTAGCTTCAAGAACACTATCCAAATGAAGAATTATGGTGGTGGTGGTGGTTAGGAATATTGTTTACTTTTGAATAAGGAATTTGTATTGTATTCGATTCCTTTTTGTTGGGAGATTTCAGTTGACATTAAGAAGTAGCAAATAAATTGAATATATAAACCAACAATTGAATATATAAACCAACAAGTTGGGCCCAACGGTTTTAACAGGCCTTACCTTTGAAAGAACTGAGCAACATAAAACTAGGGATGGAATCTGTAGGGAAATTCTCAGCCAGGAGAACATCATTCAGATGACGTTTGAAACGGCTAAGGATTCCTCTGAGTAACTGCCAACGTCACCAAGAAAGCTGCTCTTTGCACTGTACACACAAGCCTCATCATCCCTACCCTTTGAACCACAGCCTTCAACCAAGAAGAAAGCTACCCAATAGCTACATGTAGTAGAGCTCCTTGGAGATTAAAAAGGGGTTGCAAGCCAAGATCTAGTTGGCGGTGTTCCATTTTTAGTACTCCCTTTCTCCCACATAATTATTTCCATGCAGTCATCCATCAGACAACTCTTGTTAAATTAGGAAAGCATTGCCACAGCAGTTATCATTGGGCACATTGAACACACTCAAGGAGGCAGTCCCATGTTTTCTATGAACAGCACTTGCAGTTTTATGGTTGGCCTAACGTGAAGCAGAATCTTCCACATCAGATCTTTCCACTATTTATTGATCCCCTCCAGACAATTGGATGCAGGTGAACTGCGTTGCATAAAAGTGTTTTGTCAGTTTGTACACACTCATTCCAAATGATAGTATCTGTACAGAATCTTGATTGTGTTGGTTAGTTATGTTTTTAAACAGTGGTACCTTGGTTTAAGAACAGCTTAGTTTATGAACAATTTGGATAAAAAAACACTGCAAACCCAGAAGTAGGTGTTTTGGTTTGTGAACTTTGCCTTGGAAGCAGAACATGTTGAGTGTGTCCCCTTTGTAAATTGAGTCCCCTGCTGCTATGGGAAAGCACGCCTTGGTTTAAGAACGCTTTGGTTTAAGAACAGATTTCCGGAATGGATTAAGTTCGTAAACCAAGGTACGGCTGTACTGATATGAGACCTAATAAAGGAGCATAGGAGCACCCTGAAGGAATAGTCCACATTTGCCCAAATCTGGATGATTCAGAAGGACAGAGTCAGAACCCAATCTTTATATAGAAAATACACCCACAGTTGTCTCGGTACAGTCCTAGGATGTCCAAGTGCCTCTTTTAAAAAGCACATGGCTGCACAGGAAGACCTTGAGTTCAGTAGAGTATACAGTGGTACCTCTGGTTACGTACTTAATTCGTTCTGGAGGTCCGTTCTTAATCTGAAACTGTTCTTAATCTGAAGCACCACTTTAGCTAATGGGACCTCCTGCTGCTGCCGCGCTGCCAGAGCACGATTTCTGTTCTCATCCTGAAGCAAAGTTCTTAACCCGAGGTACTATTTCTGGGTTAGCGGAGTCTGTAACCTGAAGCGTATGTAACCTGAAGGTACCACTGTATTGCAAAAGCTGCAATCCTAAACACACTTCCTAGGGCTACGGTCCTCAACATGGCACCTGGGCACTACAGCACCTTCAGACCCAAGCCCTCACCCCCACTCTAAAATGTTTTTTTAAAAAAATTGAGGGGGGTTGGGGAAGTTGCCTCCTTTTTTCTGTGCTTTATTTTGGGAGGGAGGGTGTAGATGTTTTGCCTGTTTGGGAGAGGCTTCTGAGCATTACCAGTTCTTCTATGAAGTTTTTTGTTGCCAAGAATTGTTTTAGATCTCCAGCCTTGAAAGGCTGGGGAGCAAGCTGCATTGAATGCAGTGTGACTTTCTCTCATGTTAACGTGCATGAAAGATTGCACTGTTCATGTACTTCTAGCACTGAATGTGGCCAAACACCACCTGCTGTGCATATGCAGTGTAGAACTAGCTACAATTTACAATAAAATGTTAAGTCACCAGCTGCTAATGGACTTGGGCATCACGGACTGTTCAGGATTCAACACACACACACACACACACACACACACACAGGTCTGTACAGTTGAGTTGGGGTTCCTGGCTTCATCAAATCTGATGCCTTTGGCCCACATAATCTTAGCATTTTGACCTTTGCCCTGCCCCCCTTTCATCCATCCATATCGCATACAAAGCTGATCTCAAGGCCATCAAGGAAGACAGAGTTTCCATCAATACAAGGCCCTCCCACACCATCATTACACATTTTCTCTAGTGCTGAATGGCATTAGTGAGAGACATGAATGCAGCCAAATAATGACCCATCTTGACATCACACTGTAGATCAATTTAAGCATCTTGTGTGAAGTCACCTCTAAGGTTTACTGCGCATACACACATTTGGGTTTATAAGGTTTGGGTTACCAGGATGCTTAAGTGGACTGTGTTTTGTCTAGAGAGTATATTTCCAGACCACCACCACCACCTACACTGGCCAATGTGTTTGCAAGGCTGCCTTTCCTCCAGTGTTCAGGCTTGGGAAGAGGCAAAGAGGTTAAAAATAGCAGCAGCCTTCATGCTCTCTTTATAAACAGCTATGCTGAATGACATCATTGAGAGGTTTAGGCATACCAGAACAAGTCCTGGCAGGTAGCGTGGCTGCCGAGGGCAGGCCTCAACTTGATATCTTGTTAAGTTGCCACTTCAGGCCACTGGAGCAGAGTGCCCACAAGGCACCTTGAGTCCCCTCAGCTGCTCACCCTGCAAAAGTTGGTGCCATGCAAGTTCTGAACTGCTTCTTCCTCTTGGTGAGAGAGAAGAGTCAAGGCTATTTCTGTGACCACAGTAACTGCAGCAGCCTTAAACACATTGAGTTTTAAATCTTTATTTCATTTAATTATTATAACATGGAATATATGCTCTAAAGTATACAGAATATACAGTGTAAGATATTACATTGATAAAATTCCCATTTTCCATTGTGTCAATCTCATTCTATTGTGACTTCCCTCCACCACAGCTCGACATCCTTTGATATATATTGAGCTAGTCATTGTGTTATATACCGTATTTTTTGCACCATAACACTCACTTTTTTCCTCCTAGAAAGTAAGGGGAAATGTCTGTGCATGTTATGGAGGAAATGCCTACGGGTGGCATGCCTACGGATTTTCCTCCTCTAAAAACTACGTGCGTGTTATGGTTGGGTGCGAAAAATACGGTATATTGGTTACTTTGGCTCTCAAAACCCTCTTACAATAATTTTTTCACATGTTTACGAAGTTAGTCCATGCATATCAATAAATTCGTTTTGGAACGATGTTTTGTCATATATTCTTCTAAGCAATTCCATTCCTTCTTAGGTTTTTGATTCGAGTGAAGTCTAACAGCTGCTGTCATTTTAGCCAATTCTATGAATTCACATAGTTTGTTAACTAATCCTCTATTGAGGAGACAGTGTCCCCTTTCCAGTCTTAAACACATTGGATTGCATGCAGGCAAACAATTCACTCGCATCACAGGAAAGTGCCACCACGTCTCTAGCAAAACCACCACAAAAGGTTCAAAGAGCAACTTTTGCAGTGGGTTGTCAAATTGAATGCTATGCACATTGGTTCATGCATACACACACACAAACACACCATAGCTGTCAACCTTCCCTTTTTTTGTGGGAAATTCCCTTATTCTAGTGTCGTTTCCCACTGCTTCGTGCTGCTATCCCGGATTGTTAGACTGTGCCCGGGACAGGTGTGGCTGCTGATCCCTTATTTTCAAATCTGAAAGTTGACAGCTATGACACACACACACAGAATCAGCTAGAGGCTAGAAATCAACTCATACAATCCAATGTTTTAAAATGCTTTTCTTGCAGCAACTGCACCCCCAAGGTCCTGAAAGTCAACCCTGGATGTTAATTTTCAAAGATCTTTCTTATTCACTTCTTACTTGAGATCACAGCTAGAGTTGCTCTGTTGCCATTGCACAGGCGCTACCTTAGACAGCTGCTGGAAAGGACTAGGCAGTTTGCTCGATTCTGCATTTGGGATGGAGGCTGCAGCTACAAAATCACTGTCTAACAGCTGCTGAAGGCCCATATTTAGCCTACCCAAATCAGCAGTGTCTTCACTTTCTGACAGCAGCTTTTCAGACAGCAGTCCTTCCCAGCCTTAGGTGGAGGTGCCAGGAAGGGATCCAGAGACCTTCTGCAGACAATACACACTCTCTTTCAGAGGGGCTTGCGCATAAGTCGGCCACCTTACTAAACACAGCGCCGCATTCTAGTATTTCCTATTTATCCTGCAAACATGCTTTGGTGGTTGCCGGTTAAGAGCCAGCCAATCACAATGTAGGTCACCACTGTTGTTGAAACAGTAGCTTAAAAACCCTGCGCGTAGTTCAGAGGAGCGTCTCTCCCAGTTGCAAAACAATCCCGACCGCTTGGTGGCCTGTCTCGCTGGCGATCAGCTGCTCCGCCTGCCGGGCACAGGGTGAGCTCAGGGAGCTCGGGCTCCTTCGGCCCCCAAGGCTGGAGCAAAGCAAACAGGACTTGCTTATCGTAATAGGAGGAGCCCAGGAGGTGTGCGAGACGCTCGCGGCGCTCGCCCCGGGATTACGTCATCTGGCACCACAGCAGCTGCGTCACGTGCCGCGCTGTGGGGGAGGGAGGGGGGAGGGAAGTTGCGAAATCGCGCTTGCCACACAGACCTAGTTCTGCCACAGGCAGGGAAACAAACACGGCCCCCAGACAACTTACTACGGCCCCGCCTCGCCGCCCCCTCCAACAAGCATCCGGCGGATTGGGGGCCGGTTTCAAGGCGCTTCCTTCCACCTACCCCCCCCCAAAAGGAGAAAAAGAGGGGGGTGAGAACCATAGCAGTTGGCAAAAGCGCATAACTGGAGATTTGGGCTCAAAAAGGCGAGGGGGGCGGAAATCCCACCCCAAGAAGCTGTTTCGGGGGGCCCCCGCGCCTTTTAGGAGGGAAAAAGTGGCTGGAAACGCACAGCAGTTCGCAAAATCGGGCTTCGTCTGCTCAAGCCGCGTAAACGAAAGAACTGCTCCTCTAGCGTGTTTTTTCGGGGGGGGGTGGAGGAAGATGTTGGGGGTTTTTTTGTTCTTTTCCTCCTCCTCCTCCTCCTCCCCACCGAGGTCTCTGTCCAGCCGCTTCCTCCTCCTCCTCCTCCTGCAGCGCAGCGTCGGGTTTGCGCGCGCCTCTTTCAAAGCGGCGTAATGGGGCTGAGTGACGCTCCTGTGAGCACAACAAGCACAAAAATAAAACTCGGCTTGGGAACAAGGAGTTCCCGGCCCGAGAGAACAGAACATCGCGGCGGGCTGGGCGGAGAGTCAAAAATCAGCTCGTGCGCGTCTTGCAAGTTCCACCCAGGCGGGGCTTCTCTCCCCCCCCCCCCGCCTCTTCCTGTCTTCAGGCTCGGCGAGCGAAGCGAAAACCCGCAGCCTCCTCTCTTTTTTTACCCCCTACTATAGGAAAGGCAGCCCCGCCGGGCGGCTGCCCCGGGAACACTCGAGGGCTTGGCCTGGCCCTCTTACATCAGCCCCGGCGGGGAGCGAGCGAGTGACTGCCACTGAGTCACAGCCGCCGCCTGACTACCTCCCCCCCCCCCCCGCAAAGCCGAGCGGTAGTCGCCGCCTCCTGCAAGCCGGGACATGCCCCGGCAGGCTCTCCTGGCCGTGCAAAGTCACCGTCCGGCTGCCGGCTCGACAGCGCCCCCTCTCGCAAGGCGCAGGAAGGACCCGCAACCCTCCACCAAGGGCTTGGGCTGCGTGGGGCATCGCCATTACCCAAGCGGTGCGATGAAGCCCAGATCCTTTCATGGTCCTAAGGTGCTCTCCCTTCTCTCTGCCCCACCCCGCGCCCTCTCCAATTGTTCACCCTCGCTTCCAAAGGTTGCTTTGCAAGGCCCTCCTGCTCCTTGCGCTGAGCGGGGCCCGAGACTTCTGCCCCGACAGCTCTCCAGCCGCTACCTGACTCAGACAGACAAACACAGGCACCTCCCTGCAAAGGCGCACAGATAAAGTAACTCGTCACCCAGCAAAACAATGTACCGCTTCCTCACCCGCACTGGCCGCTCCGCGCTTCTTTTGGGGAGCGTCAGTCTGCTCATCTGTCAACAACTGATTAGTAGTAGGCGTAGCACCTACCCGAGACGTTTTTGGTTTCGGTGTGCATGATCAGGGCTGGTTACGCGCAAGTGAGCGCGCATCGCTGCCCCTCTCCCCTCCCGTTAAGCGCTCAGGTTGTGCCCCCCCCCCCGAGTCTTCAGGAACAGGGTGACATACATAAGCAACACGCAAATCTGAACAAACAATGCCGTCGTGTTTGGACAGCGAGCGGAGGAGTCGCCAGGCTCCTCCAATTGCGATGGACGGCACCACCATCGCGCACTTCGGGGAGGTGCACGTACCCCCCAAAAACCGACCGAACCCATTTTAAGGGTCCCCTTGCCATCTCCTCTCGTCAGCAGGTGGGAGAATTCCGAGGTGAAGGCGAAAAGCCACGCCGAAGCTCTCCAGGCTGTCTAAGGGAGTGGCTAGAGATGGAAAGAACAGGTGGCTCAAGGGATGAAGAGGGAAGGCGACGTCTCCTGGACGCTGGGAAACCAAAGCAGGGTGGGGAGCGAAAGCGAATCCCCCTCCACACCGACGGGGTCAGGGCTGGTCCACTCATATTTCCCCACCCGGAGACAAAATACGAGATCTTCGACGTTACACAAGGTGGATCGGGGTGAGCAGGGAGTAAGTAGCAGGGATGCGCTCTCTCCCTCCGCAGCATAGCTGACCTCCGCAAATAAGGATGAGAGGAAAAAATCCCAGGCGGAGCGGAGATCGAAGGACATCAAGGGAGGAAGCGAGGGGGCTGCCACCTCCGAAATGGGGCTAGGGTGGGAGACAACGACGCAGTTTCTCCATCACAGTCACGGATAAATGTTCCTGTTTCCGAGACCTTAAATATTTCCCATGCACGTTACAATGCTGCCCTCCCCCTACTCAGCACTGAGAGCTGCCCAAGACCCTCCGGCTCCCAGACGGGAGAAAGCAGCGCTCACCTCTTTCTCTCGCTGCCGTCCTTCGCTCGGAGGCGCCCTCTGCTCTCGGTAGCTCTGAGCGTAGCAGCTCCCGGCAGGACTACATAAAGCCTTTCCAAGACTCCGCCCCCTCTCGTGAAGGGGCGGGGCCTCGCGCCTCTCCTCCCCGCCTCCGAGGAATTTCCAGAGCGCCTCCTTCCTGGTCTCCCTTGTTGACTGCCTAGGTCCTCGCTTGCGCACGCGCCCGAAAAGGAATCGCGCCGCCGACGAATTCTTCCGCAAAGGTACGCCGGCATCCACGTCTACGAGCGCAAAGAGCCGCGGCCCCGACTCGAGGAGCGCAGGGGGATATGCTGCAAGATGTAAACGGACCGTGTCTCCTCTGACGCTGATACAATACACCGGGAAGAGTGTCGGCTCGGTTGCGCTTTGTTTCTTAAGCGACTCTTTGTACGTTTTCCCTGCCCAGTATTAACACAGACTGCCGTGTCCTGTGTGGAAAAGCACTCAAAAGTATTTTTAGACATGCCTTGAAAATTTCTGCAAATATGAGCACTTAGAACATCCGCATTCCTTAGGCTGGCCGGCTGGCAGCCAACCAACTAACTAGCCAACCAACCAACCAACCAACCAACTAACCAGCCAACCAACCAACTAATCAGCCAACCAACCAACTAACCAACCAACCAACCAACCAACCAACCAGCCAACCAACCAACCAACTCACACACCTTTCCTCCCTCCTTCCTCCTAGCAAATTAAAAACTGTTTAATCTGAAGCAATGCAGCAGGTGCTGCCAGCTGGCACTGTTCACCTCTTTCTATCTCCAGGTTCTCCCCTGCATGGCATCATCGGCACCAAAGCCCAGCCTGTAGCCCCCTTCCCACTTTATTCCAGATTTCTCCTGGGGGGGATGGATTCCCCGCAGTTTGGTGTTCTTTTATAATTTCCTGTTGTTAAATAAAAAATAAAGCAAAAAATAAAAATAAAATAATTCGCTGTTGCTTCAAAGTTCCCTCTTTCTGTTGTGCACACAAGCTACTCATGTTGGGTAGAGGCCTTGAGATTAGCTTCAGCTGGAAGTGGAACAGCTCTATTCCTAGGTGTCCCCAAAGTAGCATGAAGGCTGAAAGGCAACTGTAGATCCACCCACTTTTCTCTTTGTGCATCGCCAAATTGTTGCAGGAGCTTAGCTTAGTTGCTTATTAGGTTTATATCCTGCCTTTTCTCAAAGGAAACCATGGCAACATCAACGCACCCCCTGCTGCCTCCATTTTATCCCCCACAACAACCATGCGAGGAAGGCTGAGCTGAGAGAGAATGACAGGCCCAAGGCCACCCAGTGACCTTCACTGAGTTGGACTGTGAACCCGGGGACACACTGGGCCTACCAAGGGTTGCCATATTTTGAAGCCCAAAAAAGAGGACACATTTGCCGACTTCTACTTTTAACTACGGATTGCTATGACGACTCTACCCATGAAAAAGAGGACATGCCCTGGAAAAAGGGGACATATGGCAACACCTTCAAACCAAGTAAAAATCTGGTTTCCTGAATTCAGATCCATGAAAGTCATTCACACTTGCCATGATAGGCCAATCATGAGGATGGAAAGTCCCAATTATTTGGTATTCGTAGCATTTGTTTTATATTTTTTCTGTATCAGGTCAATTTTTGTTGTAACATCTAATTGTCTGGAGAATGTACTTTACAGTGGTACCTCGGGTTACATACACTTCAGGTTACAGACTCCGCTAACCCAGAAATAGTACTTCGGGTTAATGACTTTGCTTCAGGATGAGAACAGAAATCGTGCTCCAGCAGCGGGAGGCCCCATTAGGTAAAGTGGTGCTTCAGGTTAAGAACAGTTTCAGGTTAAGAACAGACCTCCGGAATGAATTAAGTATGTAACCAGAGGTACCACTGTATTTGATAGAAGGCTGTGACCCTTGATTTTTTTTTGTAAGGTACTGTTTTGTTCTCTTCTTTTTGTTTATTTTATTTCATAATTCTTACTGGACTGTTCTTTTAACTTCATAATAAAGTATTGAGATAATCATTCACAAATTACACCTTGGTCATATGAACTTTCAGTGACATGTGAAGATGCTCCACTTCAGGGCTGTTGAGCTACAACCCTAAGGTTGCTACCAACCTGTCTGAAGCCAAATCAGGACCTTTAACAAAGGGAACCACGCATCTGGGGCCCACCCTCCATATATCAATATTTAATATGGCAGGGCATTGCTAGGCAACATTGTTAGCCACCTGCTTCAAAAGTCTTAGCTGTCTACTTAGTAGGTTGCCACCTTTTGGAGCTGGGCTTCTGCACCTTTATCAGCTGTGTAACAGGCAGAAATCTACCAGGCATAGCTTTCCTCGCTGCTACCATGCACTGGTCGAAAATACACTTGTTGAAAATCTGCATGCCATGCAGCTAGGCCCTCACCTCACTGAGAAAACCCAGCCACGGTTAATTGTATCATTTCCAGAGCGGCCAAAAAAGAAAAAAACGGGTTGGGGGGGGCAGAGGTTTGCATAAAGTGTATATGCTAATTTCTATGAAGAGATGCAATTTTAGAAAGAATTACTGTAATTTAAATAGAAACGCATCACACCATAGTGTTGACCTGTGTGACTGCTCAGTCTGCTGTCTAGCTGCTAACAAACATCATCATCGTTGCTGACCCTTATTAACTGCTCTTTATCTTTAAAATAGACTTGGTCAGGCAGCCCTTCAAACAGAGGATGCCTTCAAACAGAAGACAGCCTTCTGCAAAGTATGGCACAAGGTCACACTAAATACTTTTTGTCTAGCAGCCTCTGCGTTATTATTTTTTAAAAAACAGCATTGGAGTGGGGGCAGAATTTCTCACTGCGTAGGACTCTATTCTCCACTGTGGATTGGGATGAGGTAAGCAGCAGAACTATTATCTAGACTGCTTTTTCCATATCTAATGCAACATTGTTCATGGCTAAAGAACCCCATTATCTTCTATTTCAGAATACGAGGAAAATCAATTAAATCAGCTGGTAGCCAGATTTTGAAAATTGGCTTCCAGGGATAAAAAGTGAGCCTTCATAGTAAAAGTGCCTGGATAAGCAGCTTTCAGAGCGAAGTGCTCTAACAAGGAACATGTTTGGGCATGTTATACTAAGGAGGCTGCATCCTGATGAAGTGGCCTTCTTCTGAGTTAATAACAGTCCTTGTTTCAAAAGTAGAATATGCTGCTATGATCACAGCATCCAGATAAGATGCTAGACTGGAGTTGCATTGATTGTGGCACCTTTGTGCTCATCAGCTGAAATTAGGGCTGCACATTAAGGGTTCGATTTACCATACCTGAGCCTGTGTGTGCTTATTTGTGTTGGCAGCACAGCCCCTGTGTGTTTAACAGCTGGGTGACAGGTAGAAATCCAACAGATGCAGTATCCTCTATCATTGCAATTCCATTAAGATGTGGCATTTCTGCCTGCTGTGCAGCTTTTCTTGAGGCACAAGGGCTTGGCCAGGTGCTAATTCTATTAATGTCCAGGCTGTGTAGATGAAGAGAGACTTGTGGTCAGATTGAAGTTGGCTATTACCATCTTATAACAATTACGGCAGGATGCAGCTAACAAGACCCATCAGTGGAAGTCCTGGGCAAGCACTTCCACTTGGACAGCAATGCTTTCCCCCCTTTCTTCCCCCTTCATGTCTAACCCCCCTCCCCACAAATGGGGATGGATGTGTTAGGTGAATCCCCAGAACAGGATGTGGCGGGTGGGATGTGGGAGGGGAGGGGAGGGGGATTTTCCATCTGGCAAGTTGAAATGCTCATGCAGACAAAACGTTCGTCATAGTGCGAGATTGAACCCCGCCTATAGATACTACATGCTGTGGAATAAAACCTAGCAGGAACTATTCTCCTTAGAACATTTCATGCCTGTGACGTGTCCCCATTATTTCTCCCTTGCATTTAAGTTTTTGATTTGACTCAGTCAGTTTTTAATAGGCAAGTTAAAATTCCAAACCCGGCATTGTAACATGCATAGATTGCACGGGTACAAAGAAAGAGGCTTTAAGACCAATTAAATCTCTGCATCCTTTGCATTTAATAACTGCTCAAACCCCACTCCGTGACTGGCTCCTTTTTGGTGCTGCTGCTGTAGGACCTCCCCTTGGCACAGGGCCCTGTGGAATAGAGTTCCCTTATTGTGCCCAGTCAGTGCCCTCTCACTCTGCTAAACAGAGCAGAGAAATTACGCTTTAAAATAAATTAGAGTAGAGGGCATGGGAAAGTGTTAATTTCATGCCAGAAACGCTTGCTACTACAAGCTAGCAACAAGGGATATTATTGGTATTATTATTATTTCACATCATTTGAATGCTACCACAAAGTCAAAACTCTTACGTGTAGAACAATAGCAGGTGCTGTCCTGTTTTTACTTTTTAAAAAAATAATATTATCACATGCCTAGGACACATTGTGTACTAGAATGTGGGAGATGTGCTGCTTTGAAAAACTAGGCCATCTGAGCCAGATCTACCCACTGCTCACATATCCTCTTACTCCCAGCTGCTCCATGGTGACTTTATCTCTAGAGCTGTGGTTCTTAAACTGAGAGGCAGACCCCCAGCCCTCTTGTCTGTGAAGACCTGCTCCCTGCCCTGCAAGCCTTTTTCCACCCAGCCTTGAAGGACAGGACCCTGACTGACTCCAGCTGCAGAAGCTGAGGTTGCTGAATACATTTTGGCTGGGGTCTTTTGTTGTTGCTCTTTTTAATTTTTCTTCCCCTTTGTTTCTTTATTTTAAATATTGTGATTTATGTGAAAATAGTTCAGTCTGCTTGTGTACTTTTAAATGTTTATGACTCATTTTGTTATGTTGCTATTATGTTGTGCTTGGTTTTTCAGGTTGTAATCCACCTTGGCATGGCATACAAATAAAATTATGTGTACATGTATGGTAACACAAGGCAATTGAAGGCAGGCAAATAATTCAAGAAGGGTGAAGCTCTCACAGTGGGCCCAGCCAGATACCTCTTTCTGTCCAGCAACAGAGTTATGCCTGACAGTCACTCAAATAAGGCCGGCCAAAGGACAATATGTTGTGTGTCTCCCCCCCCCTCCCATTCCACATATAGATGCCAACTAGCCTAGCTGTTGAATCTCCAACCAAGGGGAATGACTGCCCTCCAGTGTCTGCTGCCTGAGGCAGTTGTCTTGTGCCACCTGATGGTAGGGCTGGCCCTGCACAGCAATTCATCCCATTTGTGATTCCAGGCAACCAATGTTTAGAGGCATATTGCCTCCAACAGTGGAGGCAGAATGTAGCATGTGTGGCTTGTGGGCCATGGATAGATTTATTATCTTCCATCAATTTGTCTAATCCTTCTTTAACGCTGTCCAGATTGGTGGCCCTCACTACATCTTGTGGGAGCAAATTCCATCCTTTAATTATGGGCTGTGTGAATAAGTACTTTCTTTTGTCTGTCCTGAATCTTCCAGCATTCAGCTTCCTTGAATGTCTGCAAGCTCTTTTGTTATGGGAGAGGAAGGAAAACTCCTCTCTACCCATTTTCTCCACACCTTGAACAATCTTAAACACCTCTGGAGGTTCAGCATTTGAAAGCAGATATATCGCCCTGTGGTGAAAAGAAGCCCTTGTCTGCTGTGTGTATTGTCTACTTGTCCCTGTTAAAGCAATCTTAAAATGTACATTCAGAGGTAGAAAAGGCCTGTTGCTCACAGATAAGGAATCAAGGCATATTTCCTCTAGCTTAGAGCCCAGGCCCATTTCCTAGTCAATTACTTGTTGGGCTATAAATGAGCTGGGGTTTGGGGGTGGGGTGGAGACACTTGTGTATTCCCAGTCACTTTCTCCTCCCTGCTGAGAATTTAATCTGAATACAAAAGAGGCATTGTTACATGTAAGAGGCATGCTAAGCCTATCTACTAGACAGCAAAAAAAGTCACTACAAATTGCAG